AAATAGGTCAGGTCACCTGGGTGTTATAGTCATTGCAGTGTTTATAGCTTATCCGGCTTTGCGGTGGTGTTTACTGAGTCATTTTGATCTGATAACATAATCTTTGATGTGTAGATGTGTGCAAACGGTGTGTAAAAGGTGTGTGCAAAATGTGGTCAATTATGTTTATAGCATTTGAAACTAACTGCCAAGTAATGTTGAACGATTATGTGCCATGCAAGTATTCTTGGAATGAAATATAGTTACCACAACGTTGCTTAGGTTTATCAATATATCTGATGTAGTGGCGTATATGGCATAACAAACATCCGTCGTAAGCCCCTCTCTTTAAAAAAAAGGAGATAATGACATCTGCGAATTGTTGATGATATATATAAGAAGCATATCAAGTACATTCTGCCCTATCCCCTCTACGCTTGGAGGGTTTATAACAAAAATGTATACATATTTTACTTTATTGAGATTCATAGAGTAAAGCTAATTTACATAACCAAAATATTTACCTATTAAGTAGAAACGGAAGAAAAAAATTGAATTGCAAAAACTGTAAATTATATTGTTGTGCATTTTTTCAGACATGTTACGTAACTCCCAACCATAACAGACTGTTTATCGAGCCACCTTTTGTATTTAACGGGTAAATACCCCTGGATGGTTTCAGGCGGAGTAAACGCCCAATGCCCCGGGCACATCCCATGCACCCCTTCTTAAGGAATCTCTTGTTATCCCATTTGTTACCATGAATACCTGTAGAGCCTCCGTGACTACAAAACGCTGGAATTTGACTCGTGGAGTATGCCGACAATCCATGGCTTAATGTACACAAGGATGAAAGACACATGAGCTAACATATGCTTTCATAAACACATATTTGCATGCTGGTGTCTACGGGGCCACTTTTAAGATAAGATGGATGATCATCATCACCATCCAACATTCTAAAAGCATATACATGTACCACCATGCACTGTCGGATTAAGAAAGAGGCACTGGACGCCCCCCCCCCTCACTCCTTCAAACCCTGGTGGTATACCTAAAGTATACCATAGGAAAATGTGCCCCCTTTAAGAGTGTTAACATTTATTTCTCTGTCGGTGCACCTTTTTTCTATTTAGTTGTTGTTTTGAATTGGTTCTTCCTGAAATATTTCTTGTGGATTGCGTCCTCCCCCATTCTAAGAATACTGGATATTTCTTGATCGCATATACCACCACCATCCTGATAGAGTGGGTTCCCCCAAAATATAGACAGGCTATTACTTAGAAAGATGTGCATCAGTGATGATCAAAAGAATGTGCGCATCTCAAGGCCAGTTTGTATCTTGATGAAAAACATGGATCAACTGCATGAAACAGCAAATATTAGTTGTGTGGATGTAGTCCCTTCTGTACATATTAGTAGACGGTTCTTCTGATTTCTGTAAAGAAACAAAATAGAAGTTAATAATGTTCACGAGAATACATTATACAAGAGGGGACACAGGTGTGAAAAGCGAGAAAAACAAAACAACAAATTGTCACCTTTCCCTCGAAGTCTTTGTGTTCTAACACCTATGGCAAGGATACATACATGTACATTACATGCATGTTTAGCCTGCCTTCCCCAATAAATACCGATTGAATCTTTTCTGACGTCATGGCTAGACAATTAATTAAAAATAATCTAAGTAATTGTTGGCGACATGAAATGTTAACCGCAATAATCATTTTCCCAGATCATATCTTGCCCTCTGGATATCAATGTTCAGGTATGTGCCGTTCACTTGCCATCGCTCATTGGTAATCTTATTAAAGGTACTATATGAATTAAGGTTTACATAGGTGTTGTGTACCAGTGGATAAGTCTTCGGACTGTCAAACCACAGGGTACGGGGTTCGAATCCCTGTCGCAGCACCAGTGTCCTTTGGCAAGGCAATAATCTAAATTTGCCACCCTCCACCCAAGTGAGGTAAATGGGTACCTGACAGGAACTAATTCCTTAAAGTACTCGAGCGCCGTACTTAAGCCAAAGTAATATTACTGGAGAGCCAGGAACGTCAATGTGCCAGACATGAGCTCTAAACAAGACGCCACTGGAAATATGATTACTATTACTAAGACATAGAAATATCAGAGGACTGTTAAACAAGGAACGTCAAGTAAAAGATAAAACATGTGGATGACTAATATCTACGACGCGTTTTGATCTTCGTTCCCAATCGGTATTTTCAGATGGAAAACGACGTATTTGCATCGGAGGGGCGTTTTTTTTTTTTGCCCAATTCAGTTTCCCAAGAAATATGCTACACAGATATTGCTGAAAAGATGGTATTTCATTCTCTATCATATTGTTTAGTGATACATAGGCATAAAAATAGTGACACCATTAAGGCCTGTAGAAGTATCAGTGTGTTGACGAAGTCAGATAGAATTTTAGAAAGTTTTTTTAAAGGTGGAAGAATTCATAGATATCGCAGTCATGACTTGTATATATAAAGGCATGAAAGAAAAAAAGAAAAAAGTAATTTAATGATAAAATTCCCCAAAAATAGAAGTAGTGGAAGTAGTAGCAGTAATAGTAGCAGTAGTAGTTTTAGTATTAGTATTAGTAGTAGTAGTAGTGGTAGTTGTAGTAGTGGTAGTATCAGTAGTAGAAGCATTATTAGTAGTAGAAATAGAGCCAGGACTAGCACAGAGGATTGAGGAAATAAATAGTAGAAGAGGAGGAGAAAACGGAAAAGAGGGAACCGCTTTTTCAGGGACATGCTTATACGAAACCATTCGAAAACCGGTTGTCTGAGCTAGTAGGCCATATCTATCCATCTCAATTCATTGAGGAGGTCTTTAAAATTGGATGGGAAGACGAGTAGCTTCGCTGTCTTGGCTGATGCAATATCCATCTTTTTAAAGTTAATTATCTATGCCATTGATTAGTGGAAATGACCTTTAGTTGAGCAGAATCGATGGACTTGTCTCATTTAATGAGCCCATCCATTGATCAGCAGCATGGAACCTAGTAAACAAGGTCCTTTCCTTGTAAACAGGGAAAGTAAGAGGAAAAGTTCTGGTGACTACAAAGTTACCTTGTATATGTGTATGGCTGGGTATAGGCATCGCCTTTTGCAAGGAAATCAATTTAGGTGCCGACACATAAGGTAGAAACACGTCAACTTGTTCATCACTAATTTGTTTACGTTTTTATACCGAGTTATAAAACGGGGTGTGTTTCTTCTACCTTTCTTATTGTCATTCTTAAAGACTCAATTGATTACGAATAGAAAATGGTAAGATTAGTATCATATCTTATATTAATTAAACGAAATAATCTGTTTATTAAATCACATAGAGCCTACAAAATAATTTGGCACGAAATACAAATGAAAAATAGGATATTAAGATTTAATACGGTGATAAGATTGGATGTGGAGTTTGGTACTCTTTAAGAATCAAGTAATTATGGCTGTAATTTCTATGTTTTAGGCATTTCACTTTTTTTTTCTTTCTCCCGACTCCTTTCACTCAAGCACTAAGAGTGTCGAGCGAACGGTATTCATGTTGATGCAGATTCAGATCTTATGAAGACATGTTAACTTGATTTATTGAAATGTTTGTAATTGATACGGACCTCTGTCATAAATGTCAAACCGATATCAACATGAAAACATTATGATGCTGATGACCTGAATCTATGTACACTATGCAGACAGGCCCTCAACCATCCATCCATCCTTCTCCACCTACTTAGCCGCGGTGTATTGCAGACCACGAACTGTGACATTTCCACGAGTGGGTCATACTCGTCGCTCACTTCGGTCCCATGCATTGTCCGTGGTGTTCGTAATTGCATTCCACATGCCACGGAGTTCGAATAAGCATAGGCCGGTCGCATCCTGCACTGTGCCTCCGCATGTCTAGCAAAGCAATCAGCCTACAGTCGAGTACAAATGTACATTTTCAAGTGATGAGTTATTGCTCAACGATCTTTACCTCTTGCCGAACTACATTGGCGTTCTTCATTCTTCACATTCTTTTCGCTAGTGATCTTGGATCACCTTAAGCAAACTTGATCTTTATAAAGAATGGCACAGCGACGGAATATCTTGTCTCTAGAGTTTGTACTCAGAATAATCATAACAACACAGGTATAGGTCTACCTATGCCACTTGGATCATTATCAACTAGTGTATGAGTTGCCATCATCTTGATATTTTTCATGTAGATATCAATTAATCAATAAGTATTTGAAGAAAGTATTAAACTACGAGGAGATACAACGCCGCCCGGTGTGATTTCGACTTACCGCATCCCGCCTTGCTGCAATTACTCGGGAGCAGACGACAAGCCGTAATAAGTTCGTATAACTTGGCGGGAAAAAAAATGTTATCACATGTCAACAATGACAGTGTTGAGAGCGGCTCGTAAATCTTCAGTAGGGTGAGATGACTTTTACCTAGAGCTTGATCATCAGAGGTATACATGTGTGCATATGCAAAGATAGGAAGAATTCAACACCAAGAAGTCGACGCTAGCTTGGTGAATATTTTTTGATCTGCTTACGAAAATTATCAGCGTATTACAAAAAGCGGAAACACTATCAACTCGAGGAACTCTGCTTAGGAATTCCTTATGATTATGTTGTGTGACTGGTGGAAATACGAGTATTAACATCTTTGTAAGGTAGTTGTCAGACAACCTAATTGGTACATGCACAGCGTCACAACTCATATAGTTTCGTTAGGGATGACGAGTATCTGCCATAACTAGGAAGATTTTCGTTAAGCTCAACGTTCTGGGGTGCCGTGTTTGTACTACCTGTTGAAGATATTTTTACGTCTGTAAACGTTTGTTGGAGCAACTTCATTAACAATGGGAGACTACAACGTGAGAAATAGTTTCCCGCTCGAGGACTCTTACCATGAGATCGAGTTCGAGCCACCACCTAAGATGAGGGTGAAGAAGGCGGTGGTGGTTGAGGCGGTGAAGGAGGAGGAGGATGAGGAGCCGTATGATGAGGAGGATCCATGTGATGAAGAGGAGGAAAAACCCAAGGAGCCGTCCATGCTCCGTGTTGTTCTCCACCACTGTATGACCAATGGCGGCCTCATCATCTTCCTCGTTTGCTACACCTGTATGGGCGCTGCTGTATTCCAACGACTGGAGGCTCCTGTAGAAGAGGAAAAGGCCGAAACACTCCGCCTGGAGCGGTTGACACACAGAAACCTGTTTCTCCAAAACGTTAAAGACCATAATCGGGTGGCATTGACGGACGAGGCAGAGTATCAAGAATTGACGAGTACATTTTTGGAGTCGTATGAGCAAACACTAGGGGTCCTCGTTGTAGAAACAGAAGAGAACCCCCTTTCTAGCTGGAATTTCTATGGCTCTATGTTTTTCGCTACTACAGTATTAACAACAATAGGTGAGATGTCGGGTTTTGGTAATGTATACATTTAATGTTTTCCATAGGATTAATGAACCAAGGCTTAAAGAACAGAAATGGGCGTGTGTGTTAAAGTAACATCTCAATAATGTATTGATTTGGTTTCGTTAGTACATGTTTCTGAGTCTACATTTATGACTTTCGTTACCACTATCATCAGTGCATAGTTTCTTTACGGATAGAATCTAAGAAATGCAACACTCGTACAAGTTACATTTTAATATGGATTAATTTATGAAGAAATAAAAATGTCAGGGGGTGATATCAATCGTGAACTGAAGCAAAATGATGCAATGCTTTCTTCCTTTTCGCTTAGCATCAGCAGATCGTGGTAGTTAAACGGCGTTGCTTTCTTCAAAGAAAACTACTCTTCATTCGAAAGCTCAGGATTCAGGTTCCGATGCTTAGTTTGATAAATGAAATCTCGTCAGTGATTTGAAAAATACGTTTATTGATGATTTGCCCAGCGTTGATATTTTGATTATTTCATATGACATATAGTAGCCCATGACACTGTATTCACTTGCATGTAGTTTGACAAGGTCTGAAGTGCATGCAAGATGTACTGTAATAAATACGATAAGGTTAAGGTCAGGTGAATTCTCATTAGACATAACACAAGCTATATAAACACATACATGAGACACTGGCGTAGCGTGGATGGAATCAAAGAGGGGGCACTGACTTCAATGTGGGGGGGGGGGGGCAGCGGTCTTACTTTCTGGATGAATTGAATGGTTTGATTAACAAGGTCATTGATATTAGATGAGTGTCTTGGATGTTCTTTCACCTCCTTGGACCACCCTCTTCCTTTATTTCCCCTCTCTTTTCCTTTTTGCACCATTAATGTGAGCACATGCCCCATGCCCCCAGTAGCTACGCCACTGGGAGAAGAAGTAAACCTGATCTGATTACAATCAAGAGCCTGTCGGGATGAAGGGAACCCAGTAACAAGCTATCAATGTCATTGATCTCAGGGTGTCTCGAATGGCATTCTCGTCGGGAGGCCCAAACATCATTAAAGACTGATTAGAAGAGGAGCTCTCTATGCCATAGGCCATTAGTAAAATTTAACATAAGTAAAAGACCAGTAAGATATAGAAAAAGCCAAATTGTCAGGTGTGAAGAAAAAGCAACAATATTCAAACAGGAAGGTTTACCATCATAATCGGGAGGAGAACTGTATGAACCTGATTAATTTGATTTTCATGAATCTATCAGTGTCATAGGCAAAACACTAGCATAATTACGTAGAAACCAGAAGTGTTTGATTTTTTAATTTTTGTCAAGGGGGTTAACATCTAACAAAGATGACAAATTTAAAGAATATAAAAAAAAAGATACTTTCTTGTTTCTTGAATGGCATGTTCACAGGGAGGACCAACATCATAACATGATCACGGCAGAATACATTTCTGCACGTAGGATGTTGTAAACACTATCATAACGCAGTGCCATGCCCTGGGCCATTCGGGCAATTAAGCCATGTGCGAAGACAATGGTATTTTGGAAGAATTGAGTTAAAGAATGAATCAACGTTAAGTATATACTCACAGACACGTGATATTTCTTTGCAAAAAGAAAAAAACGGCTCTGGTCCTTATTCTATTCATACAGTTAAAGCCGGCCCTGGGTTTAAGATCACTTAGAAAACAGACTAACCAGCTTTGTTCAACCCGATTTCAAACAAAGTTACGAAGCGTCGGGTTTTAATGCTGTAGAAGAATACGGGTCAATGTGCCATGAATGACAAACCCAATGCAATACCCAAACACTGTTATCATGTACATGTAATGTAATCGATGGTTTAAAGGCAATGGTGTAAAAGTTAAATAAGGAAAAGGCTCCCAAAGGAGGTTAACATCTCACAAAGATAGCAAAAAGTTCTGTCGTCATCTTCCATCAGACATGACAATTAAAAGAAGACCACGAAGCTCAATTATACTCTAATCACTCTCGAGTTTCATTCCATATCCCAGCATGGAACCATATACAACGGTCAACTGACACCAATGGCTAGCCAATTAAAGGTATCAGTATGCCTTCTTGGTACAGTCACCTAATTTTCATTCGAAATTGAAGCCATTGTGTTCCTGTTGATAAGAGACATACACGGCATACAGTCAAGTGTATTTCGTTTAATTTGGGGGTGAATTGCGTTAAAGGTCACGCCCTGAATGGTGTTTTATTCTTAACTTTGCTTCGCAGTTTTGTTTACCGGTAGATTGCGTTTTGTTGCCATGAGGCATTTGATAATTTTACCTCTAACTTGCTTATTATATACATGATATAGTGGCATCCTACATGAGCGTATGTTTGATTGATATAGATTTCTGATAAAACTTCATATCTTCTAATTACGATCACAAAAAACAGTGTATGAAACTTTGTGCACATCGCGGATATCTAACAAGTCATAAACGTTCTCTATTCTTTAATCCTTCGTAAATATTTATAAACTGTACTCTTTCAGAAAACATAAATGCAATGTGAAACGTTCTGTACTCGAAAAGTTGTGACATGGAGAGCGGTTAAGAAAGAAATATTTGATGCCGCCTGATAAACTATGAAAAAGTAAAAGATGTTCGGACATAAAAATTGGCAAAAAAGGAATATAAAATCAGCATGGACTTCCGTGAGGCCTCACACGGTCACGCGATGTTTGCAGTTGAGCACAAAATATATGAAGACAACGTATTCAGTCGAAAAGGGGCTACATGGATGGAAGCTTCATGTAGTGGCGACAAAGTAGGATCAACATGTCTCGCTCAGATAACAAATTGACAGGAACAGGTAGATATCGTATGCTGAACAAGATGAAGGAGAAGAAGAAGAATACAAGTCATATAGATATAGATATTAAGATTTGTGGGAGACAGACAGGTCGACAGATTCGGTTTGACACGATATTGACGGGCCTACCCTTCTTCTGCGTATTATGTCACCTGATGCATGCATGGGGTTGGTGGAATTCAAATCAAAGAAGTAGGACCCTCGTCTGAGATGAGAGAGAAAGGGGGGGGGGGGGGAGAGAAATAGCAACCGCGATCCTTGTTAATTAGGCCCTGGTGCATTCATTTAAGGGCATCGTCCAGATGAAACACTTTGAAAGAGTTTGATGGTACACTAGGTATCCTTCAGGTTTAAGTTCAACTTCGTGACAACCATACATTGAAACACATACTCTCTCTCTCTCTCTCTCTCTCTCTCTCTCTCTCTCTCTCTCTCACTCCCCCTCTCTCTCTCTCTCTCCCTCTCTCTCTCTCTCTGTTTATCAATACGTATGTTTGTATGTACGCTGACATGTCTTATATGATATAAATTCGAATGTAAGACTTAGAGATACTGAAGAGTTTGCTGACAATAATAGTCAGCAAGAACAGCAAGAACAGACTTTCATATAGCCATCAAGCAGCAAAAGTGTCAAAAAAATTCCCCGTTGCCAGTACAGTGTCAAAAGTGTCATAAATCATAAACAAAATTCCGCAATATTGAATGAATTCGCAGATTTTACCCCATGCAATGTTACGACGCCCCTTTTCTTATTGCTTGCGAATTTTAGATGCATCTTTCATTTTGGGAGCAGACTATGTTCTAAGGAACCAGGATCAAGAAATGACTGATGTTCTTTATTCATCTATGTATTACCGGTGATGGAAATGCAAGAGGCTGTCATACATGTAGGTGACCGCAACCGATGTTATTAGATTAATTAAGGACCAAGTTGAATGTCCAGTTGTTCAGGTCGCTGGCCATGTGCATACCTTTCTGTTGTTGTAATTAGCTTTGAACAGCTGACCGATCGACCTACATGACCTGTATTTAAAATAAATACTGGAATACAAGGTCATGTCATGTTGTGAAACAGACAACTTAGGTTGTCGTTGACGTTTTTATAGGGAGATTGTTTTACTGAACCGATAAGTGTGCCTCTTTGGAATTTGTACCTTCGTGTTGAAAAGATCTTTCTGATTTTAATCCTTGATCTACTTAAACAAGAAACAGTTATAAGGTATGCCATGATTTAAGCTATCACCAATGAATGCCGATTAAATCCTATTAAAATCAAACCTATATGACGTAAAAATGTTATTGTATTGTCATTCACAAATGGTTAAAGATGAGGTTCTTATCTTCTTTGATTAACATTCCTTTAAAAATATCCAGGTAAAGTAAAACACGAATATGCTCACGTTTGTATTGCTCTCATTGTTTCAGGGAGGAAACGAAATGAGACTTAACACAACAAATAATCAATACACTTTAATGTCTGCGATTTATATATCACTACGCAAACACGAAGTAGTACATGAACTCACAAATTGCATTTCTTGGTGTTTGTACTATGAACATAATTAAGCTTCATTTATCTTTAGCAACATTTGTAAAAACAAACTCTCCAGACAGATCGGAGAAAAAAAGTTCTGGGAAATCGATAAAGGGATACGGCTGATAAAGTAGTACACCCAAGTACAAATTCAATTATTGACACATGACTGCACGTTCCCGACTGCTCCTCACATCAAATACCTCTGAATTAGTATCCAATCGATTAACAGTTAACCTTATGTGTAGCTCTGTTTTTCACATCATGCGATTCGTAGGGGGATATCTGCGGTACGGAATGGAACTGGAATCTGGTGGTGAAATCAGCGCCTTAATTACAACTGTCAATTCCTGGTAGATGAGTAGTTTGATATGTACCTAAATTAACCTTTCTAATTAATTGGTGTGATGAAAAGATGGATGATATAACCGTGTTGCCATCCATGTTCCGTATGTCTGTTTGTTTCGTGAAAGAATTTACTGCTGAAAACATGTAGCTTATTCACGGGCGGATCCAGAATCGTCATATTTAGGGGGAGGCGAAAATTTCCCTGGCATCATTTAACCCCCATACGTATGACTTAACAAACCCCTCTCTTGACTATCTCTATGTTTTGGAAGGTGGTAGTACCACGTGGGCCATGTGACTTTTTAAATACTGGATTATAATAATTGCAGCCTTAAAAATGCTTTTCATAGGCTATTCTCGATATGTGGTGGGGGCGACTGTTTCTCCCAAGGCATTGTCTGTTTGAGCTTTAGTCTTATCCGATTCTTGAGGAAACTGCATTCCTGTTTTATTGTCACATGGATGGAATTGTTCAGATTGGTCATGATTTTTGTCTTGCATTGTCTGATTTGTATCGTAAACATTTTATATTCATTTAACTTATCTTTGCAGTTTATTCTAAATCCCAATATATTGTAAATGACAATATTTTGAAGAAACTAGTGTATTTGGTAAAATTAGACTTTCAGAAATATTTACTACTCATAGATCATGTCGTTACATGACTTCCTTTGAACCAGCCAATACTGCCATACCTGGTATTCCATTTGTCGTCGGGCTGTGGTTGGTACAATGTACAACATTCTCGAGAAAGAGGATGCGATGACAGTTCGAGTGCTTGGAAGTTTAATCTGATGCGGTTGTTTACCCTTGTTGAAGATGTCAACACATCTGTATCAGTGATTTTTTTTCTTTAGCTCGGCCCCCTCTCACTCTCTCTTTCTCTCTCTCTCTCTCTCTCTCTCTCTCTCTCCCTTCTCTCTTTCTTTAGCATCATCTAACTCGCTTACTCTCTCCGTTTTTCTTTCTCTCTCTGTCTCTCTTGAGACTCTGGTTTGGAATCTCTTCTGCGCTTATTGCTTTTGATATGATTGCTCCGTAATTCTCAATCTTTTTATCTCAATTCATCTTTCCTTTTCTCTCTCTAAATGTTCTCACTCTAGATTTTTCATCATTATTTCACCTTTTCTAATAACATTCTTAAATATTAACTTACCGCACATCTAAGGGCTTTTTCAGTTACATTATTTCCCGCGTTACAGCTCTCGAGCTGTGATCTTTTCGTTATTTTACATTGCTTCTTTAGACACTTTCTCTTTCCTTCTTTTTAAATTTAAAAAATAATTTGACAGGTTAAGGAATCTGACATAATAATGCAAGCATGAGATAAATCATGTGCGTGGGTATAGCTAATCTAGGAATTTGCCGTGCCTTTGGAAAGAAGAATGTCTTTAGTTTAAAAGAACAAATTCTCTTTTCATTCATAAAAATAATTCTTTGAGTTTAAAGTTTTCTCTTCAAATAATAATCCAGTGTTCTCGTAGTGATGAGATAAATCTCTTCACATCTCAGACACCACTGGTTACTGGTTAAGCCTTGTTACTGATTAATTGGATACTCATTTCAGGCGTGAAACATTCTACACGACGCGTTTTGTTTTAATATGTTATATCAAAATATTAATCCACCATGCTTTATCAAACATTTTGTTTATGAGCGTTCCCGACACTTGATCAACATTTATAAATGAATGCCCTTCTGAAAACACACCGCCCTTTCATTTTGAAGCCTACATTTTGAATCACAGGGTGAAGTTTGTACACTTTAATTCAAATAATTTAACTATTAAAGTGAAAATAGCGTCATAATAGAGGCATTCTGATATAATGCATCAGTAAATATATATTTTAACGTTGTATGCGTAAGGTAAATTCGTAAACATCATTGAAATAAACGTTTCACAAGCTTTGAATGAATTTTGTCACACAATATGTTTACATATCCTTGCTTAAAAATTATATTCAAAATGCTATACCGGTGAGTTTCTGGCATTACGAATTAATTAGGTACTTATCATTGCACATTACTCAATTATTTAAAAAGAAAAGATTTGCAACAATGACGCTTTCATCGAAACCCAAATCAAAAGTTAAAGGTATTGCTTTTTGATATTTTTTTTTCGGATGGTCTTGAAATGAAGCAATTTATTTGCTCAGAGGCTTCAACTACAAAAGCAATTTTTCACGTCCCAATATTTTTCTCTTTATGATCAAAACTTCCATTTCCAACTGCTTGAAATCTGAATCACATTTTTGGGATTTCTTAAACTGACTGTTATTGCATAGATTGAAGCAATTTCCAATATTCTAAATGAGTAATGAGATATCTCAATTGAATATTAAAGTGTACTCTCGTCAAGATTGAACTTATTTCCTCTTGCAATGTAAGTGGTATGTCATCATTATGGTTTTCAAGCCGACTACCTAGTAAAAGCTTTGAAAGCTTTTTGAAAGCTTTAAGTTTGATTCAGACATGCCTTTGGATATCATGGTGTTGAATAAAAATATTGACGTTTGGGAGCAGTTATGGCCTTTGCTCTCTTATATTTCTTTTGGGAAAAGTTTGCGGAACATCTCTAGACATATTTGGCCCAGCAGCGATACTGCTACAGCATGACGTTACCAAAAGAAATTTAGGATCTCAATGAGTTTAGGTAAAATAAACATGTACATGAAGGCACACATCGTAACTATAATATTTTGACGACATTGTCTTCTTTCTCATTTTAAATTCTCTGCAGGTTATGGTAACATAGCTCCAGTGACGGTGGGTGGTCGAGTATTCTGCATGGTGTATGCAGTCTTCGGGATAGCTCTTCTTTTACTAGTCCTGGCGAGCATCGGTACTTTACTGGCCCGCGGGGCAACCCTGGGCTACAGACGCATCCTCAAAAGGATCAAGAAAAAACGCAGCAAAGACGAAACTGACGTCATCACTTTCCAGCGCGATCCTCGAGCGCAGGAAGTCATGGACGAGGGATGGAAAAACGATGACGGAGATACGCATAAGATCGACATCCAGGGGAAGAATGGCGAGAGCTTAGGCGTGGGCGAGAAAAGGGATTCCTCGAATGTGGAAACCGAGGAACCAGAAGCAGAACCGCCAGAACCAGAAGCGCAAATTCCTCTAACTTTCGTCCTCGTGTTTGCCTTTCTGTATATTTGCTTTCTGGCTATGCTACTGCAAGCGTGGGAAGACCAATGGGACTATTTCGAAGCCTTTTATTTTTCTTTCATTACCCTCACGACCATTGGGTTTGGTGACTTGGTGCCGCATCACCAAAAGAACCTGCTAGCATGTACCTTCTTCATTCTCCTAGGTATGGCTATAATGTCAATGTGTATTGCCCTTGCCCAGGAGATGATCATCCAGAAGGTAGCGTGGCTCAGTAAGAAAATTGGTGTTGCGTTTGCAAGTCACAAGCAGAGAAAAAGTGGAGAATCGTCGTAACGGCAACCATGAAGGCTTCGTCAACATCTTCGTTATGCCTTTGAACTGCTCCACCAGAATATGTTAAACAAAGAGGCGTGATAACTGATTTGAACTTCTACTACTTAATGATCCACTGATTTGTGTGCAGTTTGCACATGGACTGAGACGTCCTAATGACATAAAGTGCCTCGCAGCCATTGTAGGATTACGTTTGACAAAGCACATGGTGTCTATGATTCCGTCGTAGATGTTAGAACACAACGTGACTTGGCACATTTGATTGATTGAAAACAAATTTGCACATAAATTATTATCGATAGCGTTATAACCCGATGTTAAAATGCATGTTTATTTATTTTCCGAGTGTAAAAGACTGGTTCGAGAAGAAACAATTAATATATCCGATGGGCAAAGTGCAAAAGGGATTGCTTATTGCAGATCGAGATAGTTTGTAGTCCTGTAATATCACCTAGGTATAGAGCGTGATACCAGTGATGTTTAGCACGGGTATAGGTTGATGGATCGCAAGTAAACAAAGCAATGTTGTACCTCTTCATTTTCTCTCTCTTCGTATCCCTCTCACTCTCTCTCTCTCTCTCTCTCTCTCTCTCTCTCTCCCTCTCTCTCTCTCTCTCTCTCACTCTGTTTCTCTCTCTCTCTCTCTGTCTGTTTCTCCTTTTTTTCTTTCTCTCACTCACTCACAATTTACCAATCGATATAGGGGATAGGGTCTACATTGCCCCTTTACTCCAAGATAGCTTTTTTCGGGCATGGTTATCTGATTGGAAACGTTGATAAACATTAGAACGAGTGGCGTACGCAGGATTTGTTTCAAGGGGGGGGTTTTAAAATCGGGCCAAAAATTTCGCAACGACTCAGCCAGCCGCGGAATAAGCGGGGGGGGGGGGCGGGGTAAGAGGACACTTTAAAAAAAAAAATTAATTAAAAAAACAAAAACAAAAAACAAATAAAAGGGGGGAGGGGTTTTCCCCCAAAAAATACACAAAACCTACACATTAAAAAAAAAATCAAGGGGGGGGGGGTAACCCCAAACCCCCCTCCCCCCCCCCCCCCCCTGCGTACGCGCCTGATTAGAACAATATCATATCTACAGGATAACGAGTCCCGAAATGAAATGTATTCCAACGGTACCGCAGGAAGACAAAACTATTATATAGTAGTCTGAATTTACATCCAATTTATTGACGGTTAACCCTGATATTGGCAGAGTGCAGCATTGATCACAATACTGTCCGCTGTAATTCAACGCATTGCGATCAGCTTTTATGAGGATACGATGTATTCCACTCCGCTTTTCAGCACAACCAAAACGGCATATTTCTGGCAATTCAAAACTTAAGTAGTAGTTTATCGTTTGTTAATCGTCCTGAAACAAACAAAGCAAACAACAGAAACATACTTTAAAAAACTTTTATAATGGAACACTGCCACCCATACTATTTTATTCAGGATGATATTACAAAGCAAAAAGGTCCTCGATTTCGAGAAAAGAATTGAGAAAATATGAAGAATGTCATTCTTCAAAACGTTAAGGAGTGTCGTAATTATTATCACTCTAAACTTGATTCATGGTTGATAATAGATTTTTTTTTCTTCTATCGAATGATTGCTGGTTAACAGATGGGAGAAATGAAGTTCGGCTACGTCGAGCAGAAAGTTCCAACAAAGAAATAAACTTTATTTATAATTATAATACCATCATGTTACGATAGATCTTTCTCTAGATATTAGGGTATCTTCAGATGTTGCTGGGAAGTACGAAGAGAAATCCTCGTAAATGAAAAAGCACAGTAAAGTTTATTGATCTGTATCTGTATGTGTCTAATATAATTATGATAGTATTAAGTAGATAATAATCATTATAAAGGATATTTGTAATTTTGTAATGATTTTATGATATTGTGGATTTGATACCATTTGCTTTCCAAAGAATGTGTGTGTGTTGCTAATGCTTTCTTTCTTTATTTTGCCTACGATAATGATGCACTGAAAACAACAAACAACATGAGGTGCTTCGTTAGGACTGGTCTATAAATGTAAATTTTGACTGCATCTCTTTTGTATTTGTATGCATTCAATAAATGTCTTTAATTAATGTTTTGTTCTGCATGCTGCATAAGAAATAATAATTCAGCTCGCTGAAGGCAGAAGAGAGAGAATAAAACTACATATCATTCATGAGATACTGGGGATATTCACTAGGGATAGACAAGTGAAACTAAATTCATATGTCCTAGAATTGTGGAGGCGCGATGACTCAGTGGTAGAGCAGTGGTCTCGTACCCAGGAGGTCCCGGGTTCAAAACCAAGTCGATGCGCTAGTGCCCTTCGGTACCGCATTAATCCTCATTACTAGTTGCTTACTTAAAAGTATACACATGCTTTCTTAGCAGTCTGTTAAAAAAAATCAAACATACACATTTTGTAGTGAAAAGTAAACTTAAAAAGTAAATAGATGTTTCAGGCGCATACATAAATAACAGTGTTACTTAAGGAGCAATTGGCATACATTTCTCTTCATGAAGAGTTGGGAATGACTCATTAAGGGGTACGTAAATTAAACTGAACTAAGGTCGTTAATGGCAATTGTTACTGCAATATTTTCGTCTTAAAAGCGTCTAAAGCCCCACTGTCCTACTCGTAGCTACTTGCTCCCTCTATATAGAAAATTACCCCAATCGGTGCCTGTTGGTCCCCCATGATCCTCTTTTTCTAATTTAGTTGAGAGCTGAGTTAATGAGATAGCCACCTGTCAGTGACCTCGCTGTGTGGTCTAATCCCTTCTCGCCCAGTAGTATTGACGGTCTTTAAAATAAAATTCTTGCCATGCTTATTTTCGTTTTGCATTGTTCATTTATATCATCTACATTTACAATTTGTTTTACAAAACGAATTTTCAATCAGTGCAGACTATAATATGAGGGAAGGATTTTGACAATGGTATAGCATTCTTTTGACAACTTTTTACAATAGATATGTCTCTATGGTTTTATTGAACGACTAGAAATGCAAATCATGAATAATTTTCCTAATTTTTGTCCAGTAAGAAATGATACCCCCTTCAAAAAGCAAAATTGACGCTTTAGGTCTTCTGTAACATTCTATGACTAACTTTTGCAACTACTACTAAATTTAAACAGTTTCTTTTTATGATTGGCAAAGAATAATTTTTTTATTGATGGTTGTTCATTCGTGAAAAGCAAACTCAAATGATACGAAAATATGATTATGTTAACGAAATATATGCCGCGTGTAAGAGTATCATGAAAAGTTTTTTTAAAAATTCGATTTTATTATATGATAAACTTTGATATTTATTAAAAAGATGTTTTTTATGGCTGAAAGTGTTAAATGAAATATTATAATGTAAGTAAATGCCATCGTTTTCATTTTTTCATCTTGAATCATTTTCACTTTGAAAAATGTGTCATATTGCATTCAAGAGATCGAAAGAATAAATTGTTGACTTGAAAATAATGCAGTTTGTATGTTCTCTTTTATTTAGCACCAGGTGAATAAATAAGTAACAAATTACATTTCAGAAAAATATTCTTTCTCCAAAGCCGTAATACTTTACCCCCTTGATCTATGCTTGAAGGCGATGTGTGTGTGAGTGTGTTTGGGTGGGTGAGATTGTGTATAAGTGTGTGTGTCTTTGTAAGATATCCATAATAACAGTTACACTTATCTGTCGCTAGATCAATAAACGACTATGAAATCATCAACAACAAAAAAAGTATATTTAGTCATATCTCCAACGATATTAAAGCTCAAATTTGTGTCATTTCGAGAAATTCAGCATATTAAATTGTGTAAAGTCAAATCAGATATCCAAACGGAACTAATTTGAGCTTTTTGTTATCCTCAGAAATACAGCAAAGCTATTTGTATTTAAGTCAATATTATTACATTTAACACCCTGTGCGATCGAAACAACATGATGATAATGTGACATCTATCATGGATTATCGCAGTCGCTGCATGGATATAGATGCAAACGTCCCAGGTATCTGGTGATGAGAGCGGACTGACATCTCGGTTGGTGGTAAGGAGACCAAGATGAAGATGTAGCATGGTTACCTGTCGCTGCCTCATTCAAAACAGAGGGTCTGGAATGTGACTTGAGAAGTATGCAGACGACCCATTGCTTAGTGTACTCAAGAAGATTAAGCAGCCAGGTCCCGCCATGAAACAGCCCCTACACATTGCATTTCACGTCCTTGTTTTCGTTTGTGCCCAAACAAAGAGAAGCCGTCTTATCTTCGTATGTACAGACATCGAAAACAGTGTCTGTTTCTCCTATGGAATTTTTGTTGAGTCTATTCAAGACATTTTGTTTGTCTTTAGGCTTATAATTATCATTTAATGGCACAGGACAACTTTTTCTTTTGTAATATAGTCGATAACCAAACATATTCGTTGAAATTCGAAAGATGCATAAAAAGGACATTACAGATGAGCACATATACTGTTTAAAAAAAATATGTTATGAATATCTTATAATTTTCATTAAAATAAAAATGATCTTACAGCAAATAAAAGGTTAATGTTTCGCATGCGGCTGTTCATATAAGCAATACAAAAGGCTTAGTACAGAACCATACATAAACAAATCCAAATATTTTGTGGCAAAAAAGACAAAATAACAGAAAATTCTCATCAAATGAATTAAATGGTAAATGACCTATCAAACTTTGCAGGCATGATCGGAAGAAGATCGTCTTTTGATATATACACATGATCAATAACAAAAAAATCAATCCTTTACAACAACGATAAGATCAAGGCTATGTGAGTGCAAGTGAGGTAATACGCGAGAGTAAAATCTATTTTCGCGCAGAGAGATACGGGGAGGGAAAAGACGAAGGTCCTGCGATGAGGGGGAAAAAGGATGCAAGTTGCCTTCTGAAATCGATGGGAGTTGGTTATTCAGGAGATGGTCACCACAGGACGGGGAATGATTGATAGTTTGAACACAGTGGCATATCCAGATTTAGAACAACAGGGGGGGGGGTGTTTCACAAAGATTCTGAGTTCAAATTATCTCTAAATTGGACTTAACAATTATGGAAAGCCGTTAGCATCTTTGAAAGTTTTTTGTAAAAGTTATCTTAATAGGCATAACATGTTGATTCAAATCATTTATATTTTCTATCAAGGAGATTTCATGTTTTTGATGTGGAATTTGTAAAAATTCTAAAATCCTTAAATTTTCCCTTCTGAATATATTTTATTCGAAGGCTAAAAATGGCTCTCCCACACCCCCCCCCCCCCCCCCCCATCCCCTGTGCGGGGCCCCTTCGGAGGGGGGTTACGGATTTGAACCCATGATAAAGGGCGTATCCCGAGATTGATACGCATGGGAAAGCATGTAGAAAAGTCAAAAGCAACCCTGCGTGCCATACAGACATCTTGACTTTCTACATGAGGCTTCAATAGGGGGGGGGGGGGACGTACGCTGGCTCAAAGGTATGTTGGATACGCCACTAGTTAATATAATCTGTCTTACTATCGTTGTTTCATATCTTAATTTATTAGATATAGAATTTTGAATGGCAAAATAGTGCAAGTATTATAACCAGAAAAAATATCATGTTCAAGGTAATCTTGAGCTTGAGTTCTTATAATGGCGTTAAATTGGCAGACAATCAAACTATTTTTTTGGTAGAAACAAAGACAATGCATAGCTTAGTAATAAGCAAAAGAAAAATAAGGGAATGGTCCTAACAAATACGCATTATAGCCTATTTGTTTTGGCAAATTTGAGCTGTGCTTTCAGACAAGATCTTTTTCTCATTTCGTTTAATTGGTCCAGACAAAATGTCCGCTGTGCCATAACTGAGACTTACTTTTAAGCCACTTTTTCTCGCTATACTATTCCATCTTAGTCCACCATGTAAGAATTCAAGATAAACTTATTCGAAAACACACCTTTAAACTATGGTTACATAGTATGAAGAAAGTGATGTCGAGCTATGGGCTCGTGCGTGGTAGAGCCTATATATGGGGTATCATTAATCACAATCCCACACAAATGTCCAAGAGACTACGTTGATGAGAATAAAATGAACTGTCGACTGCTGTAATGTCAATTTACCTTTTCAGAGAATTACTCATCCAATTATGTCACGATCGTGAGGTCGAATATTGGTCAATATCAATGTTTAACATAAGAAACCATATTGACGTGGTATGCTGAATCATGAAGGGGGATGTGAAAATAGAAATCTATATCTACTCTACTGATATGTATCGCTGTTATATAAATCAGTACTTTCTATTTTCGATAACTGGTTCCGAATTAATACTGTACTTCCTTTAAAAAACTTTAAAATGCGGAAGCACAATTGATAATGTTGAATATTGATAATATTCCCAAAATAATTAAAATCAATAAACTTCTCCTTTGCATATGTGCTTGTCATGTTTTTAAAACCTATTTTTGTTGGTTCTGTTGTAGTAGTAGTAGTAGTAGTATTTGCTGTTGTTGTTGTTGTTTTTGTTAAAGTAGACGATTTAAAAAAAAAAATTTAAATCTACAATTTAGAAAATAGATGATATCAATGTCCTGAAAGGCAGACCTATGAGCGATTTCGGAGTATATTAATACCCCGCATTCTGGCTAATATTTTTATTTTACAAAGATGAATAATTAAATGTACTTCATGCAGGTTTTCTCCTTTCACATTTATTCAGCCTATTAAATTCAAATGAGGAAAATATGAGGAAATATTTCTCTATCTTGCTCTCTGTACAGGAAAAAAAAACGAGAATTTTTTCTCGCTATTTCAAAAACTCTATTTCCAATCCCCGTTGAATCACTGTCTACTTAAAAGTGAGTACCGTCATTCGTAAAGAGGTTGCATGTACTCTGCGTATCTCGAATGAACCTGAATCTCCCTACTTAAGAGAAGTAAAATCGATGGATTTACCATCAAAATGACAACAGAACATTCCATCTTCCAGTTTTGATAATTGAGTTTTCATTTCTAGCATTTTAGCCACTCAATTCAAAGGCAATTCAGACCTAATTAAGCTATAGACACTGCGTGGTAGTACCAGGATTGGATTTATGTGAAAAAGAAGGTGGAGTTCAGTGAAAAATAGTTTATTCGAATAATGACAAGGAATTATAACTAAACGTGTGTGTGGACCACACTTTTATGTCACGCGTTTGTGTAGTTTTTTTTTTTAAAGTTATTTTGTATATATTCACATTTCTTTGTAAAGTGCAAGACTGCCAATTTCCTATCATTTTGATGTTTCCAAAATCTCACCAACCTTTCCAATGGCTTTCATGCAGTTTCTTTAACAAAGCAATTCTTTCTCAAACAAGAACTTAATGGAAGCGGATGGGTATTTGATTCATTCATTATGTTTCATATTTCAAGTAATCCAAGTTATTGAATAGACATACAATGTAAATAGATGATTGAATTCACAAGGGATTCGACATGGGATTAGCTTCTCAGACACAAACAGATCTTCATATTCTGTTAACATTTTGAGACTGCCAACAACCTCCTTAATATGTGAAGCATTATTACCTACTTCCCCAATTTATTAAAACTATAGAACAGCCGAGGCCTCCATGCACCTTATCGTGACTTCGTCAGAATGCTTTTAAGTTCAACACCCCTCAGCCAGGCATCCAATAAGGCCTAGGCCTACATGAGAGTTGGATCCAACTCCCGGCGGAATAATTGGAATGGTTGTAATTGATGTGAAGCTAGTAACGCGGGAAACATTAGAAGTCGCGATGATGTTTAACCCTTTCAATGCGCCAGCGTTAAACTTAAGACAGTCGTGGGTAGGCTGATAGTCAAATTTGCGGCTTTATGAACTGTGACATTTTGAGTGTGGTGTACACTCCTCTCGTACAGTCCCACACGCAGCAGACGATGTAGGCATTCGCATTCTGAAATACCGATGGAGTGACTAACTTTACTTCAGGGGTCGCACAAGTTTGTGTACATCTCCGTTCGTTTCATGTTGTGTATCAGTCGCTTTGCTTTTTCTATCAACAGGCGGGCAAATGTTGGATCAATGATTTACCTTTGAGGAATCTAGAATTTTAGAAGAGATCTGCATCCAGATAACTCGCTCATACCGCCTCATCATTTTGGATATCATCGAGTCTTTGTAAGATGTAACCTATGATAGAGAAGTAATTCGGCCAAGTATGTATCTTTATGTGATGCCATTGCTCAGGCGTGCATCAATCATTCCTTGGGAAAATTAACGAGCCGTGAGGAATTTCAGCGCATCGTCTGCTATTGCTCTTTTCCAGTCATTAACTCTGAGCAGACGACAAAGCGAGCACCAATTTTCTTCATAACCGAACGCGGGAATCCAGGGAGACGAGCCTATGTTGACAGTCGCTTGACGAAGGTTAGATAATTTGGCGTAAAAAATCGATCTGACAGGATAAACATTCCCCCATCACAATATTGTTCAATTTTCTCTGGCGTTGTTAGTTTATGACGTTGTTGTTTTGATATGTCGATGTTATGTTTCGAGTAAGCTGAGCTTCATTGAAGGTGAACCGCCGAAGCCAAATTTAATATCAAATTTAGTCTGAACTCTGTATCATTTAAAGCTTTGTGTGCATCACGCTTAGTTTTCTATTGCATTGGATCTTATTGTATTATATTGTTGTTTGTTTGTTTGTTAGTTTAATTGTTCTGATGATACCTATTTTAATCAGTCACAAGAGGTCGTCATATAATCAGTAATACTTTGTAATTTTAAAATATATCATAACAATAATATGTGACAAATTTGCTGATAATAGATGTTTTAGAGATTATGGTAGGTTTATCAGCCAAGGAGATGATAGTGTGTTTAATACCCTTTATACCTTCGTAGGGCGAATATACTAGGTGGTGGACAACTGAGAATCTTAACCAAATCTTAGAGAGTCGGATAAACGATGGGCGACTACAACTGGAGACAAAGCGCAGCTACCAGTGATGGTGATTACCGTTACCCTGGTTACATGGAGGAGGAGGAGGAGCTGCCTCCCGTTCAGATGGTCCAGGAGGAGCCGTCGGTGTTCCGGGTTGCTCTCCACTACTGCCTGACCAATGGAGGCCTCATCGTTTGTCTTATCCTCTATACGTGTCTGGGAGCATTGGTGTTCCAGGCGCTGGAGGGGCCCGCCGAAGCCAATGCAGTGGAGAACCTCCGACTCGAACGCTTCGACTACAGGTAGGTAAACTCGTAGATATGACGCGGTAAACCGCCGCATTGCAAAAGGAAAAGCCCCTTTTTTGTAATGTGTAAAGGAATGACAACTGCACCCAACAAAGTACTGCGCGTATTCACCGAATCCTGTTATAAGGCCTTAAAAAAAAAAAGTTGTATTGCCATTTGCGACCGACCAAAAAGTTTATGAAATCGACGGTCGGCTTTTTAAAAAAGTTTATTTTTTGTACCGTCTTTTAGAGGAAAAAATTGTTTAAGCATTAAAAACAGAAAAATATAAGCCCAAAGAGGGAGTTTTTATAAAAAAAAAAGTTAAAAAAAATAAAAGATTTCCGACGACCGACCCTTGTTTCGGCACCTTAAAGGCAATACAACATCTTTTTTTTTAGGCCAAAGTTACAGAATTGTGAAGCGTATTGTACTTTTAAAATGTCATCACAAAGAAATAACCGTCGCGGTTTAGCCGCTTCATATCTGAACGAAGCTTTAATATTAGTGATAAGCTGTCGTGGATTACAATGGTGTATCCAGACCCCCCCCCAAACAAAAAGGGCGGAATCCTCCTCAAGTGGGGAGGAATGTGGTCTGTATTTTGGGGCACACTATACTAAACCCCATTGCCAGTTGTTTGATTTCCACTATATCATGGATATGTCAGAGGATGATTTTTATTTAACCCAGAATATAGTATTTAAAATATTACCCCAAAAAGTCTATTCCGAACAATTATTTTGACAAATGCAGACATATTTGATGAACAAAACATTTGTTTGTAGCCAAAAGCCTGAAAGTTCTGTTAAACTGAATACCTTTACATGTTTAACACCCTTTGGCTCCAAACAGATGAAAAGATATCCGCTTTGATATATCGTCAATACTTTGAATCTTTTTTTTTTAGGAGTGTCCTGATTGATAAGCTACTAAACATCACTCATTGGGCCCAAGAAGATGAGGACCAGTGGTGGAGGAGGGCTAGCAGACACCTCAAGGCGTATGAGGATGAACTGGGCGTGGCCGTGCTTCATTCAGAGTTCAGTTCAAAATGGAACTTCTACGGCTCCATGTTCTTTGCTACCACGATCCTGACGACTATCGGTGAGGACTTTTATCAACATCATCATATAATCATTTTTAGCATTATAGTCTTCCCCCTTTTCCTACTTCTCCACCTCCTCCACCGCACCCTCTGCCTCCTTCTCCTCCTTCTTCTGCTCCTTATCCTCTCCTCCTCTGCACTCTTTCCTGCCCCTCCTGCTCTCCTGCTCCTCCTGATCCTGCTCCTGCTCCTCCTGCTCCTGCTCCTGCTCCTCCTGCACCTCCACCTCCTCCTCCTCCTCCTCCTCCTCCTCCTCCTCCTCCTCCTCCTCCCCCTTCACCTCCTCCTGCTCCTTCTCTTCCTCCTTTTCATCATCATAATCATCTTTATAATTATACTCATCTTCATCTATCTCCATATCTTACCTTTCCTCTCTCTCTCTCTCTCTCTCTCTTTCTCTACAATTCAGTCATCACCAAGATTGATTAAATTGCTCATAACCATAGCTACACATGTATTTCCTTCCCAAATTAGATTTGCAGACATCATCAGGAGATCATCCTTATATCTCATGTCATCGCGACCTGTAATACTAATCAAATATATTGATTAGAAGTGGAAAGGGTGGAACGATCTATCCGATAATTACGTCTCGAACGTGAGCGTCATAATAAGAACCATCGTTATTATTATTATCATTAATATTATTATTATCATCATAACTATTATTATTGAATATTATCATTATTTGTATCATCAACAGTATCATTGTTGTTGTTGTTGTTGTTGTTGTTGTTGTTGTTGTTGTTGTTGTTGTTTTGGTGGTGGTGGTGGTGGTGGTGGTGGTGGTGGTGGTGGTATAGACTGTTATCAAAATTACCTTGGAAACTTATGATGTATGTTAAATTTGAAATCATATCAAAATATCTAAATCATACTTTCAATACGCTATAAAGGCTATTAAACCCATGTTTTCTATTCCATATTAATTAACTATAAGATCCGTATGATGATTTTGATCCATTCTTTCCTAGTTTTAACGTAAGTAGCAGGGAAAGATTCTTTAATCGTTTTCACATCATGCCAGATGACGGCAGGCGCCTCAAAACCAGGTCAGATTAACTCAATAGACACACGCCTATACAAGTATATGCATTTGATACCTACAGCGCAGGATAATGTATATGGGTTAGATTGGAATGATGATAGCAGGGGATGGGAGGCCCGCCTTTGTATTTTTGTTTGTTTGTGTGTTTGTTTGTATTGAGCTGCCAGTTTTCAAACTATCCTTCTGTGGATTATAGCATGTAGAAATCAGCATTAATAAGAATTATGATTTAAGCTAAAATTGGAATAGCCTCATCAACACCATTATTATATGTAAATATAATGTCAGTCTATTAAAGTGATAATAACAAATTAGAATAATGACATTCGACCGCTTTATGATTAACATAGCAGCTTTTTAGATATGCGGCCACATTTAATCAAAATAAAATATTTTCTTAAAGACCTCGTAAGAACTGATGAAACCCATTTTAAAGTAGAAATCATATCCTGTTTTAATCGAGTACAACAAATTAATCAAACAGTCTAGATTCTTCTTTAATGATGATGCTTAATTTGCTTTTAAAATCATTTGTTGAAAGATATATTTAGTCTATAAACTTGTCTGAAGAAACATTAAAATTATATGTCTATGAACATAATTTTAACGTACATTAATTATGTTTTGAAAATACAGTGTAACATTGCGATACATGAGGAGATTCCTCCTTTCTGTTATGTTAGTTTGAAATCGTTTCCGCTATTGCGCTCTATATCACATCACTCTTCATCGTACATGTTTTTATTGTTGATGTTTGAAATTCAGATGATAAATTGCATCAGGATAGGGTGGAGAAGGCCTGGCTCTTTCCAACATCTCTTTGTATTAGCAATGAATTGGTACATGATTCAATAATCTAACCATCGAAGAACCATACTGTGACAAGCATGCCTGAGCTGGAGTCAAGTACATGACAATATTGGTCTGACCCACATCAACAACCTAAGTTGCAGAAAGTATCATGTGTCAAAACTCATGCATTCGAAATCTTTTTAGCGTCTCGTATTCGGAAGGAGAAAGACACACATATAGGCTAAACATGATATTTTGCGGAGTTTGACTTTTTTTTTTATTTTTGCTGAACGGCAACTACTTTCTAATTTAGATCATTCAATTTCGAAAATAATTAATAGTTTTACTTTTTTAGAAACATGACGATAGTCCCTAAAACTTTTCTTTCCTTTCATACACTATTCTTATTTACATTTTTTTTTGGGGGGGGGAGGGGGGGGGGGGGGTGGTGAGTATTTTTCTTATACACATTTATTACTTGCCCCTCAAAATATTTTTGATAATTTTGGGATATGGACATCCCCAGTTTGAAACTCAGGAAAAAGACAATGAAATTGCCGTGGGGGCACTCGGGTTGCACATGTACATTTCGCTCCCCGCCCTGCCCCTCCCCTGAATTTGGAAGGTTTCCACTCCCTATATTGGATGCTTCTTGATACGCTATGATATGTACATGGAGGTATAAGCCTGTTTCCAGTCCTCAGACTGTGTGACAAATTACGCCGAAATATGAGCCCCCAAGGATACATTGTCAAAAACAGGGGCGTATCCAGCATAGGATGGAAACGACGTAACCCCCCCGCCCCCACATTATAGTCTGAAGGCAAAAAAGTGTACTATTTGAAATGGGTATATGGAGCTTGAAGTTACCCATGCATATTAGCCCCCCCCCCTCCCACCTTCCCCCAGTCAGGAAGGAATTCGGATCCCCCTCCCAATATGAAGTTCTGGATATGACACTCTCTGTATCCCCGCCTATAGACAACGATCGGAATGCCCATAGACCAATCCAACCTCCTTGGGTGCGATTGTTGGAAAGAAACCCGAGCCTATTTGATATCCTTCTGTCTGGGCCCGGGAGGGGTCTTCTATATACAGACAATAACCATGATAACTAAGCAGTCAAGTTGATCCACAATTTCAACTTTAAAGTGTATCGAAGCGATAAAAGGAACTGTATTTTTTTTCTTCTATATGTTTCAATAGAATATGAAATAGGACACATTGAGCAGTACCTACGACATAGATAGAGAGCTCGTATTTATTCTTTTGCAAATTAAAGATGATTAGTCGTTTGACAAGCGAGGGCAGAGTCAGGATTTTTAAAACAAAACAAGACAACAAACAATGAGGCGTAATATTCCTAACATTTCTGATAATAAAAAATGAAAAAGAGGTCATCACCTCAAAAGGGAAGACGGACTATTATGTTCTGCCCCCCCCCCCCACCTTCCCCCATAAATCCGCTAATGTAACAATTTTCCACGATCGTAGTCAGCGAAACTACCGTCTTTACAATACCCTTGGATGATGAGTGCTATTTCCAAAATCATTCGTCTATCGGATTAGCAACTCGTGAACTTTTTTTTTTTTTTTTTTGGGGGGGGGGGCAGAGTGTCATTCATGTTAGAAGCAGTAGAGAATGCATTCAATGGAAACATATCACTCACATACTAATGTCTTGTTCATACTTGTACATCCACTCGCTCGTGTAGTTGCCATGCAGACGGGTATAGCACGAATCATGAAGCTCTAAGTTTTCACGTAAAGAGGATTTTCATTAAAATTGTTAGCAAAGACATTAGGTTGCGTTTAACTTGGATTGGGTGGTCTTATCCATGCAGACATAGCATAATTTAAACCATCTCCTTCACTTTGAACTTGAACAAACACTAATGGGATACTGGGAGCAGAGAAATCCCACTCCACTCAAAAACAGGACGGAACATCAGTGCATATTGAATACATTCTTATCAGCTAACGAGGGGGGGGACGGTGGCCGCAGTAGGTTCTCATTTGAATGTGGTTATATATTAATGACGATATGAAGAAAGGAAACAAATTTACCCCTTATAACACATTTCGGTGACCCGCTCCCCCATAAACATCTTCTTATGGACACACTATAAAACAGAAACGGTCGCAGCCATTCAACGTATAGCGCCTCTTGACTTTGTCTGAGTACATATCGACATGATAGTGGGCTAGCATGATACCAGTCACTAAGGGTGAACTGGGGGTGTTTTATAAAGCTGTTCGTAAAGTTACGCATGACTTTACGAACGACTTGTATATGAAAAGCCAAATGGGATGCTCAATTATTATTAAATACATAAACTAAAGTTGAACTGTGGAGATGAAGATTAACATTTTTATGATAACGACTATGTTTAATGCAAAGTATATTTTTTGCCATAATTTAATTGAGGTTATTGAAAATATCAGAACAAAATTTGGGCATCCTATCTGGCACTTCATGTACAAGTCGTTCGTAAAATCATGCGTAACTTTACGAACAGGTTTATGAAAGACCCCTGGGGCAATCTGGGTCACTGCATTGACATTGATTAAAAAGGCGAGGGAACAGGGCGACCAAGTTGGGGATTGTGCAGAGATGACGACCTTTCTCTCCCCTCTTTGTATTTCTTACCCCTCATTTTTCGGGCAATTCAAGAGGATGCCAATGGTACCCTCTAATAATTCGCACCACTGGATACAGATATCAATGAGATTCTTATGATGATGAACGAGACTCATGTATAATCAAAATGTCACGCTCTGAGCATGGAGCTATAAGAGAGAACATTTCTCGGGATGGAGATGACCTTGAAAGTATGCGATGCAGGCCTTAGCCAGGTCTATCAGTATTAAGGATCCGATCGCTGCTGGCATTTTCTCGCTTCTCTCTGAGCAGTGGGGTATGTACATGCGAAGAGGGGCATGTACCTCCGCCTCCCCCTACATCGATTGTCGTATAAAAGAAGGAAAAGAGGCAGATAACAAGAAGTAAAGAAAGAAGAAAAGGGAGAGGGGGCGGAATGTTAAAAGAAAATGAAAGAAACCCCTGCTAAGAACATCAGCTTAATGTGTGACCTCTAATATTAAGTCGTATTTCACCCGCTAAGTAAAACCGTTGCCCCCAGTGAAACCAGTAGCCCCTTAATTACTGTACCCGCGCTACGCCAATATTCCCGAGTAAGAGCTTACTTAAGAGTCAACCAGGTGATAAGCCCTTCAGAGGCTTACTATTTCATGTCAGGATGCGCCGACCCAGCTCATATAGGCCTTGATGAAAATTCATGTCTTAATCGGTGTCATTGCTCTTCGTTATACATCATCATGTTAATCCCCACCCACTCCCAGCTCCGTGCTATCCCATCACTCTCTCTCACTCTCTCTCTCTCTCTCCCTCCCCTCTCTCTCTCTCTCCCTCTCTCTCTCCCTCCCTCTCTCTCTCTCTCCCTCCCTATCTGACCCTCTCTGTCTCTGATTCTCTCTCTGCCTCTGACTCTCTCTCTCCCCTCTCTCTCTCTCTCTGTGACTCTCTCTCTGCCTATCTCTCCCTCCCTCTCTCTCTCTTTCTCTCTCTGTGACTCTCTCTCTGTCTACCTCTCTCTCCCCGTCCCTCTTTCTATCTCGCTCTCACTCTCCCTCTCAATTCTCTCCCAGGTCCATCCATGTATATGCCTACCATCTCCCTGTTTTCTCTTAGGTTGAGCAGAATTGTTATTAAAATATATTGCCATCATTAACTTCATTACGTTTAATTTGATAAAGCATTGTATCTGATAAGAGTAAGACCGTGTATCCTGATTATGGTTATCCTGATAATGGATATTGATACGACGGAAAGGGCTTGTAATTTGGTATGAACATAATGACGTAAAGTGAAGATAGACAAGAGCATTTATCTTTTGAAGGAAGGGAACAAACAAGAGAAGGGTAATGAATTGTTTACAAAAGGCAACGGCAGGAGGAAAAAAATGATGAAAAATATGCTGTTGGTATACTTTTAAACTATACGTTTATGGTTATTTTGCCTTTTATTAAATGTTCTTGTCGACTACGATTTTTATGTTTATTATCATTTACTTCAGGTTATGGTAACATCGCACCCAAGACGGTCGGTGGGCGTGTCTTCTGCATCTTCTATGGCGTCTTCGGTATCGCCCTCCTCCTCATTATCCTGGCCAGCATTGGGACCCTGCTCGCCCAGGGCGCCACCCTCACCTACCGCCGTATGCATACCATGGTCCAGAGCGTCAAGGGAGAGGAACCCGAGGACGACATGCTCTACCAGCGTGATCGACGGTCTCAGGAGATCATCGATGAAATTTGGTCGCCTCCGCCCGAGGTTCCAAAGGATGGTGAGACGCTAGCGATGCACAAGGTTGATCTGCAGGAAAGTGGGAAGAAGGGCAAGAAGGGTGGGCGGAAGATGGGCGGTGCCATCAGAGGGGGTGAGCAAGTCCAGCCAGAGGAGCCGCAGATACCCCTCGTGGGGATTCTCATATTTGCGTTCTTGTACGTGTGTCTCCTGGCGCTGTTGATGCAGGCGTGGGAGTCGCGGTGGAACTACTTCGAAGCGTTCTACTTCTCCTTCATCACCCTCACCACCATCGGGTTCGGAGACTTGGTGCCAGAGGATCAGAAGCAGTTAGTCGCATCCATGTTCTTCATCCTCCTCGGCATGGCCATCATGTCCATGTGTATCGCCCTCGCTCAGGAGATGATCATTCAGAAGGTGGCGTGGTTGAGCGATAAGATCAGCGTCGTCGTCGCTGGCAACAAGCGGACCAACGTCGAAGAGGAATCCGAATCATAGTCGACGAAGACCGTTCCGATAGTTTTTAAGAATGTCGATAACATGACGACAGTATCATAGATTCGAACACTAATCGTCTAAATGTGTGATGATTGAATGCCGATGCATAGTGAAGTTGTTTTAGCTATTTGAATGGGTTGGCCGTCGAATAAAATATTGTCAATGCACTTGCCGAAATTTTTCCAACAAGGAAAACAAATCGTAAAACCTAAATTAAAAAATATATCAATAAAAGATTTCCATTTTCTTTTGCTGATAACTATTTTCGACAAAAGTTTGATATTTGATGACGGAGATTTTGAATAGGGCTATAACACCCAAATATTGATTGTAATTATATGTATGTATGTATATACTTGATATTGTTGTTAATTAATTAAACAACTACATCCGAACATTACATTTTTCAACTTTCATACCAATAATCAATTTGAATATTTGTTGTTGTAAAAAGAACATAGATTAGTTTTCAAATATATGTATGAGCAGATTAGGGAATATTTCAAAGTAACACAGATGAAAATAATGGGCTTCTTCTCATTTTTTCAATGACACACCTTCATAATAATTAATAAGTATCTGGCTTGCAAGATAGTAATGCTTAAATGTGGCGTGCTTTCAGTAAGATTAAAGTACTAAAATTATGCATTTCACATGAAAGCTGAATGAATGAATATTCTTTGTATTTTTATTTAACCAAAATGTGGCAAACCGTATTTACGTACTGATCGTTGTAATGTCGGTCGACTTCATGTTATTCATGTTGAACACATCATGACTTTTTCTTGGTTATTTCCTAAAAATGTTTCTGAAAGTGCCTGCATATCTGCCATCGGTATGATCAGCGACAGAATACCCAAAATGTATGCTTTTAAACGAAAGTGCATCATTTATTGTTGATGCCGCCGTTTTTCTTTGATGATTTTGCTTTGATCCCTTAAAAGCATCGCTGTTCCGTGATCACTATGCTGTACTGTGGGTGTATCCAGCGTAGGGTGAAACAGACGTTTAGACCCCCATCCAAGTTTGAATGATCCGTGATAATACGCGGGACTGCCCCAGTAAAATGAGGTCCCCCCCCCCCCCCACCCCCGTCTGTTCTGGTTATGTCACTTTTGTACATCTCATGTTTTCCATAGGAAAAATAAAATGCTTTCTACTATTATTATGGTTTGTGGCTGAATATATTTCACTGACAGAAACAAATCACGGGAGTATGGTATATTGCCATCACCGCTCAATCATGAACAGTTTCTTTTAGAATTGTCTTATTATTTAAATGATATGTTCGCAGTCATATTGGCGGTATAATATACGCAAGCAATGCAGGTACTGGGGAGGCTACAGGCTCGTGTATGCATTTCTTTGATAATGTTTTATATTCAACAATCAGCAAAGTCAAATTATAAGAGCATGATAGATCATTTGAATTTAAATTGAATGTCGTCGCGAGGGGAAATAGATTGATTAAGATGCAGAAGGGAAACACATTTAGGACAGATGAAGAAAATAATGAGGCAAAGAGAAAAAGACAAATGAAAGTGAGAGAGGAAGAAAAAAAGGCAGATAAAGCGTTAGGGGAAATTGAAGAACAAAATGTAGATGAAACAATAGGGTTGAGGCAAGAGAGAGAGAGACAGAGAGAGAGAGAGAGACGGAGAGACACAAAGAAAGAGAGAGATAAGAAAAGGGAGACAGAGAGGGGCAGACAGACAGACATAGATAGACAGATAGAGAGATGAGAGAAAGAGAGAAGCAGACAGACAGAGAATAGAGACGAGAGATAAAGAGAGGCAGGAGAGACAGAGAGAGAGAGAAAAGCAGCCAGACAGAGATAGAGATGAGAGAGAGAGAGAGAGAGAGAGAGAGAGAGAGAAACACACATAGAGAAACAGAGAGAGAGAGAGAGAGAGGGCAGAGAGATAGACATGGACATCTACTTCCCAATATCTGGCAAAACTAAGAGGCCATTCCTTGGCCACGCATGTAACATATCTCACTTGGGGGTAGGGGGAGGGGCAGGCTCATATATTACAAGATTGCAAATTTGATATTCATAAGGAATTATAATGCATTGTTATATTCCGCAGAATACAATAAATGAAATGACAAATACATTCATAGGGGAACAATTTATTTTTTAATTCTTATTACACGTCTGCAACACAAATGTATTATTTAAAAAAAAATGAAATAGTATAATTATAATACAAGTACAATATAAATTAATCATTAAACAAACTTATGAAAATAGACCATTATTTCTAATAAAAGTAAAGGCTTCATATTCACAAACATTTGCCTCTAAAATACGGGAAAAATCCATGAATTATTCAGTGAAATTCACTTCTAATGCTTTTTTTGAACAAAAAAATTACATTTAAAGTCAAACAAAAGTCCATCAAAATTATATCCTATCAAGAACTATTTTATGCATGCAATCAACATTGGCTATTTAACCCATAGCCTGCCATAAGGCTGCATGCACGTTATTCTATTGTTAAGGTGCCATGTACACGCTAGCAAGCTATTGCTCCTCTGCTTCTTGCATGATTGCATGCAAATGTAATAGCAGTTATTGTTCATGCCCATTGGACTGTGCCTAGTGTTTTGCACGCGCTATTCATAGAACCATCGCGTTAATCAGATTATCCCCAAAACAACCTGGCACGGGGAGATTTGGGGCTGTGGCAGGATAAGAGTTAATTTTCTCACTCCACTGGGCTTAATACTGTACAGGACTCATTTGGTTCTCTCATGCAAATCGCCAATGGGTCAGATATCCAACCGAATATATTATAAGAAAGATACACATAATTGATCTTGCATCATGATTGTCTTAGATTGAAAAGATAAATACAAATATGTAAATTGTTTCATCAAATAAAAGCAATTGTTATCTTCATAGAATAACAATAGTTTGTTAAAATTAATTGTGTTAGGTTCAGATCTTTGTACTATCATACCTTTCACAATTCAGTCTGTTGCTGTGAAAAATGATTCTTAAACCTTCAATTTAATGGCATAACATGGGTACTCACAAAATAGGTTATACAGTCACAAATGATATTTAAAACTAAAATACTGAATATTCAATTCAAACCCTGATAATAGCACCCTTTATCAGTTCTTATGTAAAGAAATTATGTTTCACACATAATTGTTATCAAACACTACTGAGATTGAGGCAGAACATAGCATAGGGTATATTTTGCTGAAAAGTTTTAGAAGCAAAGTCAAGATTTGTTTTCCAACTGGCAGTTTTGAGAGTTACTTTTGCATACTAATAACAAAGGAAATAAAAGCTCAAAAGAAGCAAAATGTTTGAATATGAATGATATAAACAAGAGAATAATTGATGGAGACTCCTAGTTGGATAAGCTTGTTTATATAAGTACACAGAGAATATCAAGTTATACAGTGAGCTTCAATTTGATGATAAACAAATTAAAACAAAAACTGGTGGTGATGATGGTGATGATGGTGGTGATGTTGATAAAAATGATGATGGTGAAAATGAAAAGGGAAATATGCAGATGTAAATACATGTATGTCTATCACAGAAACTATAAGTTATATACATGTACATGTTTAATAAAGAAAATAGACTAAAATGAAATCAATACATCAATTCAATTCAATTCAAATGAAAATCAATACATCAAGAACCATTTAATTTCCCTCTTTGTTTGGATATCAGTGTCATCTATTAAACTTTTCAAGCATTGTAAACTTTAGACTTAAATAATACGGACAAATTCTTTTGAAAATTTGCAAGATCAGACAAAACAGACCCACAATGTAAAAGACTAAGCAATATTTCTTGATATTCAGGCAAAGGACTATAACAAGTAGCATTTCGATTACAATTATGTATGTATAAAGAAACACTAAGAAAGAAAAAAAAGCAACAGTATTTCAAAATCGCATGTAGATTATGTATATCAACAGCTAGCTTTAAAGGTACTATGTCCCATTTGCAGGTAAAACAAATGAAAAGGCTAAATTCCAACGGCATTTGAAAAATAATACTAATTTAGAACTTCCCCCAAAAAGGGGCTTGAAAATGTCTGTAAGAGGGAAAATAACGACTATTAGTTGTCGAATCGACTTAAGAGCTATAGAGCCAGTAAGTAATAGTCTGATTTTCAGACCATTGTACCAAATTGTTGTACGTTTTATGCTGCGCAAAGATTCAATCAGTTTAATTTTGGCTATTACAAGAAGTGGGTTATTGATGTAGACAAAAGCTCATGTACACTTTACAGCTCATTTTATGGATGTTATTACCAAAGAAGAAAACAGGCAGTCAGTCACTCAATAGTGTCTAACAGTGGAGTCTAGCAAGTAAACGTGTTTCCTCCCATAATTTGAATATTAGGACACTGCTAACATTTAAATGTTCACAGATAGGACATACATGACATATTTATAATTCCTGCAAAGTGCTACAGAATTTGATGTTGGCTGCAAAAGGGACATAGTATCTTTAACAAATGGTTAAAAAAAAAAAAAGAGCTAAAGATCAAACACTACTACCATGTTCTCATAAGTGCCCTGTTTCATAAAACATTTAATCAACAACAAGTCTCACATTTCTATAACTCACAGCTAATCAAATATATTTCAGTGCCCAGTTACAGTAACTTGTTATCAACACACAAGTTTTATTAAATGGGGCCTAGTAGAGCTAGAATATGTTCAATAGGGTATATTCCTCGGAGTTTTGCGCATGAAAGCTTGTTTTTCAGGTCCTCTGTTCGAACTACCTCGAGAAGTCCTTTGATTGTTTGACCTCCACTTATTCTGGGCACTATGAGATTCAGAGTTCTGCCCATTCCAGTTCTGCCCCTTCCAGTTTGAACCAGTCTGGTTCGGACCATTCCAGTTCCTATATTCTCTTCCATTCCACTCGCCGCCATAGGCACCCTCTCCCTGCCATGCATGACAATCAGGTACATAATTCACCCCTCTATCTCTCCAGTTGTCACGATCACCCCTACTTCCATGTGGACTATCCCAACGTGAGTGCCTCTGGAATGTGCTCCCGTATGCTACCGGCTGGGCTCCTCCATACCAATAATAGGGGTCGTGATACTGTTGTTGGTGATGTCCTCTTCTGTCATGATCATAGTTATTTCTTGTCCTATAATGGTCATTCTTTCCTCTCTCTTGGAAGTATACATCATGAAATTCTTTGGAACGTACAGATTCCCTCCTGTATAAATGGGCAAAAATAAAATACTGATTTATCACAAGCTTCACCGTAAAACAATTCATAATACGAGTCCTTAGAAATAAAAATACATGTTTTGAAAAATTATTATTTGAAACTTGCTATAATCATCTACAAATGAGAACATGTTCTTTGTGGGGTACAAATAGTTCACTCCGTTTCCTCCCAATGGCACAGTATCTTGTGTCCTGTAACACTTGTGATAAACCTTTGCTCCCTGTTCAGGTTTGAGTGATCAAATTCTAACTAAAATCCCTAAGCTAGGGTAATAATTTTCAAAAGCTCTTTTGTAGCGCATAGGGACGTTTTAATGTGATAACAGAATATTATTGTTATTATTCAAATGGTTACACATAACCTTCAGTATTTAAGCCCAGTTGCCATGAATCAGGTTGTACTGAATATTCCCCCCTTTCAACAGCACAAGAAAAAAGATTAAATATTGCATGTACTTTATCGTCGATCCTTCTCCATCAGTTTCAAGATTCAAGATTCAAAGATTCAAAAAGAGTTTAATCATCAAATGATTAGCAGTCAAAGGCTGAATTGCACATTTGTTACATTTGTTACATTTAAAGATATACAAAATAAATTGTTAAAAATAGATACATACAAACAAAATTGCAAAGTGCACGTTATAAACCAATAGTAAATGTTAAAAGTTTAAAAAGTGATGAGTGGCAGTGGGCATTCTCGTGGTGATGGGCACACATGTCCAGGAGGTGGACCCCTTCCCCTTCAAAAAAAAAAGTGTTCACAAAGTTGTTTTCTTCTTGCTTCAAGTGTGATCAAGTTACACAATGAAAGAGCATTGACATATGTTATATAGTCACCTCCCAATATTATTCTAAGGACTCTCTTTTGAATTCGTTCTAAATTTAATATTTGCTCTTGAGTAATATTTCCATTAAAAACAGGGATGCAATAATCAAGTACTGGTCTTATGTATCCCATGTATATAGTTAAAAGGTCATTGCGAGGAAAATGAAATGATTTCAATCTATGGAGCATATACAATTTCCTATTACACCTTAACATTGTATCTTTGATATGAAAGTCCCATTTGAGATTACTTTGTACAATGACCCCAAGAATTTTAGCAAATTTCACTGTATCTAATTCAACATGCCCAATAAGTAAATTTTCAAACACTAGTGGTCGTTTCATGAAAGTAATAACCATGGCATGACATTTGGTTGCATTTAATTTCATATTATTTACACTAGTCCATTGTTGAAAGTTATTAAGAGATTCTTGCATTCTTGAAATTTGAGTACATTTCCTACTTTTTTCAACAAGTGTAAGATCATCAACATACATGTACTTATAATATGATATAATTTCATCTTTACAAGCATCATTTATCATTATCAAAAATAGTACAGGGCCTAATTTAGTTCCTTGGGGAACACCAATATGAATCAATTGTGAGTCAGAAATTGAACCTCTATATTTCACACATTGGGTCCTATTTTGTAAAAAATTAACAACTAATGAAATAACACAGGGCCTGACGCCCAAGTCAATTAATTTTCTAATTAAAATGTTGTGGTCTATTCGATCAAAAGCCTTAGACAGATCAGTTAAAACTAATGTAGATATAGACTTGGGTGAATCAGCATTTTCATACAATTGGTGTAGCAATTTAATCAGATAATGACAAGTTGATACCATTGGTCGATTTCCATATTGATGTATATCAATTTTTCCATCAATATCTTCCAGTAGCCACTTAACAATAAAGGATTCACAAATTTTAGCAAAGTGAATTGTTAAAGATATTGGTCTAAGATCAGTAATTGTGGGTGTATTTTTCTTAGGTATAGGAACAATTTGTGCATGTTTCCAAGAGTTAGGAATAATACAACTTTCAAAAGACACATTAAGAATATCGGCCAATGGTACACACAGTTCATAAGAAAATTCACGAAGAATTCTTACTGGTAAATCTCCCGTTATACTAGATTTTTGTAAATTTATTTTATTAAGCAAATTATAAACTTATTGACATTCAATGAAAGGACATCTTACAGGTGATGGTAAGTATGCAGGTAAGAATGAGCTATCAAGATGAGGCAAATCTTCAGCAATAGATATAAAAATGTTCATTAATTTCGTTAGCAGTTTCAGTATAGCAGTTTGGATTACTAGAGTCAATTCCAGGAATGTCTACACTCCACAGCAGTCTGTTCTTTTCTGCCTTGAGTGAGAATTTTTATTTTGTTATGCCAACCAGCAGGATCATCTCTCTTTAAATTGCTTATCCTGGTATTATGGTAATTACTTTTAGGTAATGGTATTGCTTTAGCAACTTTGTTCTTAAAATGACGCCACAGTGGTTTATTGTCTTGGCACCATGCTCTTTGTCGGTTTTGGATTGTTGACTTAATATCTGATGTCATCCAAGGTTTATCGTCCTCATGGAAACGAATCTCACGTACTGGGAGGCTGTCATCAAGATGTTCCTGAACTGTACTTAGTAAAATTGTCAACTTATCATTGACACCGGTTGCTTGGAGAACTTCTTCCCAGGAATGTTGGGTTATCCAAGATCCAAAAACTCTTCGACCACTATCCGTCAAAGGTCGAACAATTTTTTTGCGTATTTTATTTGAACGGTTAGCTTGAGGAAAAGGTGGTTGCCACAAAACACAGTTGTGGTCACTATTAGCTATTGGACATAAAATCTCAGGTGAGTGATATAATAATGAGTAATTTGTAATAATCATATCTAAAATATTGTCTCCTCTTGTTGGTTGCTGTACAACTTGCTTAAATCGTTGATCTTGTAGAAAGGGCTCAATATCGAGATCATTAAAATCACCAATAATGGATATTCCGGCTCCAGGATATCAAATTAGTAGTTCATCAATGGTAGAAGTAATGTGATCAATATAATCTGGTGAAAGCGGGTCCCGGGTTGGGAAGTAGATCACACAGAATATAATAGATGATACTTGGCGTGGTAATTTTGAAGGTCTCATCTGGATCCACAGGACCTCTAGGCCGTCAGGAACTTGTACTGGGAGTTGTTTGCAGTCGAGTCGTTGTTAACCGTAAAGCGCGACGCCGCCACCAACACGATCATTTCGGGATTTGAAAAATAGATTGTAATTTGACAATGAAAAAAGCTGCAGAGGGGTATTTTCGTTGAACCAAGTCTCTGTAATTGCAATTAAGTCAGCATTATTGATATCAGCAACAACTGACATATCATCAAACTTGTTTTGTAATGATCTAGTATTCAATAAAAGGACAGAGGGTAGATCATACTTCTGTTTCCTATTCTGATGTGTAGAAGTTTTCTCAATATGTATTGTAATAAGGCATTTGTTTCTATCTTGTTGGATATGCCTATTACTAGTTCGTTTAGTAATTCGTTGTCGAACAAGGACAGGAATTTGTTTCCGATTTCGTGAACGATTGCCTCCTCTCTTACCTCGGTGGGGAGCAGGTTTGCTATTGATGCCCAGGTGTTTGATGATGTCCCACGTAGCAGGGGGTAGTTTGGTGCGTGTACATGTTGTCCTTATATCATGTAAAGATGAGATGGGATATCTACGGATTTGAGATATTTGTCCATTTTCATTGATGTTGCCGTTGAGTCGAGGTCCAGGGTTGCTCTCAACGTCTCCACATCGTAGAAGTTCACAACGAAAAGTTGATATCGAGTTGTTATAATATTGAATCCGTCTTCCGACGAATTTAAGGCGGACAAGTTTGGTTCCAATGCCATGAACATAACCATCATTGAAGTCGTGAATAGGCGAGTTTATTTCAAATAGTGGTAGGGTTACGTTTCTCAAAAACAGAGTGTTCCGAAACTTATTGTACCGGTAATTATATGGGTGGTACACATTACACAGCAGCAAGCACAAAATCATCAAGTCTTTTAACTTCATCTTTCATGGTTCCAAGTAAACAATCTGATATAAAACTTGGCGTGACCATGATCTTAGTGAATCAGTCATCAATACGGATTGCGCGCCAACCCAGTACACCTAAAGTCAAGACAATAGCCGTATTCATGAGGCTATGTTACTCCGGTCTCATCGTTTGTACAGCTTGACCACGCATGAATGTGCATTAGCGCTACACGTGTAGGGTACGCAAAATGGCGATTTTCCATGTATCGTGTAGTGAACGTGAAGGTACAAGACATAAAATCTGAAAGTTATTAGTTCTCACCAAACAGCCCGTGACATTACGTAAAAATTGTCCTGATGATTCAGAAAGGCTCAATCAAAAAGCTGATCAGACTGAATAAGTCTAAAATTCTAAATATATATGCAACTAGATGGAACTTCGACTGCGCGCAGTCGAAAATGATGCCTCCGTCATAAAGCAATTTTACAAACCAAAACAGAAGAAATTTTTGAAATTCAAGTTCAATTGTAATCCATTAACAGGTTCTCAGAATATAGTGATTACAAGCAATTTCTCATATACATATACGACCCTTTGATCTTTGACCTCATGACCCTAAAATCTACTCAGTTCATTGGCTCTGCAAGATGTCCTGAGTTAAATAGTAATCCATCTGTCAGTTCTAATGAGAATGCGTTCACAAGCTATTTTTGCATACATTAATGAGCCCATGACCTTTGACCTTTGACCTTATGAACCAAGAATCTACTCAGTTTATTGGCCCTGTAAGATACATAAATGAAGTTTGGCAGGAATCCATCAATCTGTTCTAATGAGAATGCGTTCACAAGCTATTTTTGCATACATAATGAGCCCATGACCTTTGACCTCGTGACCCCAAAATCTAATCAGTTCATTGGCTCTGCAAGTAACGTACATGACCTAAGTTTGGCAGGAATCCATCAATCGGTTCTTGAGATAATGCGATCACGAGCTGTTTTAGCATACATAATGAGCCCTGTGACCTTTGACCTCGTGACCCCAAAATCTAATCAGTTCATTGGCTCTGCAAGATACATACATGACCAAAGTTTGGCAGGAATCCATCAATCGGTTCTTGAGATAACGCGATCACAAGCTGTTTTTGCACACATAATGAGCCCTGTGACCTTTGGCCTTTGACCTCGTGACCCCAAAATCTACTTAGTTCATCGGCTCTGCAAGATACATACATGTACATGACCAAAGTTTGGCAGGAATCCATCAATCGGTTCTTCAGATAACACGATCACGAGCTGTTTTTGCATACATAATGAGCCCTGTGACCTTTGACCTTGTGACCCTAAAATCTAATCAGTTCATCGGCTCTGCAAGATACATACATGACCAAAGTTTGGCAGGAATCCATCAATCGGTTCTTCAGATAACGCGATCACGAGAACGGGACGTATGTACGTACGTACGTACGGACGGACAACCCGAAAACATAATGCCTCCGGCTACTTCGTAACGGAGGCATAAAAAACACTCGAATCCGAGAGCACCAACAATTTTGTGTCAGCCGTTCCAGGCGCGCAGGCGCGCCTAAAATAAAACTTGCCACCAACATTAAACAATCAACTACTGACCTATCACCACTAAGCTGTAAAAGATCTTCAATGTAATTCTCTCTCTCAATTGGGTATCCTCTCGCCTCTTCAAATGCTGTAGAATGGGAAAGAACAGAAAGGATAACTAGCTGACGCAAACATTATTTTTAAGAAATTTTATTTTCATCCAATTTTAACTAATTGGTCATTTGAAAATAAACAAATACAACTATTTTATCACAATAATGCTCTTTCATCATATTGTATAATGATTATAATTAGACAAATGCTTTAGTTCAGGCTTCAACAGAGAGTTCATGAGGTAGTAGAAACCTAAGATATCATGGTATATTTAACAAGCATATTTCGGAATTGTAGCTTCTTAAGTAACCTGCTCATGTGATTAATTCTCCAAGTTCTCTACCATTCCTTTCACAAATATAATTTCTTGTCCAAAAAAACTCTTCTTATCCAATTCAATCTGGGAATTTGTATAGTGCCTCAATCTAGTTGCATAATCAAATGCACTGGATGAAACATAACAAGAATACTGTATATGCTGTCCATTATTTACAGAACAAAATCTTCTTTATCATTGGTAAATTCAGAGTAAACTAAATTGCTTCAGCTGCTCAATGAATATTCACAATTTCCCATCCTCTCCCTCCAATATCTTATAAGAAAAAGAAACAGAAATACAAGGAAATGATAAAGAAAAGTATCAGCTTTACCTTTCAAAGCATCTTCAGGCTTAAAACCCTCCTGCTCTATGAGATACCTGTCATGATATGAGTGAAATAAAAAGAAAATAAAAAGATATAAGAGAGAAAAGGTCACATTTCATATAAACCTAAAAAAAGAACAAAGGAAGCACACAGGGATCCAGATGCACTAGAGAGAAAGAAAAAAGGCTTACATTTCAAGCCCCAAAGAACTTAACAAGTATGTTCCTTCTATTGGGCCTAGCAAAAAAGGTTTTGTTTTTTCTTTGAAAAAAAAGCTCATCTACTTCGCCTAAATAAATGACTTTAATTACAAAATATTGAAGCCCACATGTACTCTAGTAGAAAAGAGAGGCCAATTTTTCACACTTACATTTGCAAAAATGTGTAGTATTCAATCAACTCTCTGACCTTCATGTACTACTTTCTCACCAGTGACCTGCATACTGCATATCAATGATCCCAGGACTGTTTTTTCTAATTTGTGTAGTTTAATTATTAAAACTAGTGTAGATATTTCAAAGCTATGTTGGAACTGAGAAGTGAATTAATACCACCAGAACACTGTATTTATGCTTGGGTAGTTGAGAATTGGCTAAGTACTCAAAACCGATTACGGATCAATTGTTGGCAGAACATGTCTCATACACTTTTCAGACACACACAAGTACATGCTCAAGTAACTCCAATTATAGCAGCATAAAAGTAGTTGTTCCTCACCGGCATACAAGATACCCTGTCCTATTCACCCCATGAGTACAGTGTACACCTATAATCATATCTGAAAGATAAAAAACAAGAAAAATCATGAAATACCCACCAGTGTGAGAGAGTGATCAGTGTATACATTCAACAGGATCAGAACAATATATGGATACTGTGTAAACTTGTTTTAAAGAGCTTTTATATTTAGAGACCAAGTAAGACATGAACTGATAACATTAAACAATCGATAGGAATGTCATTTGAGCAGCTAACTAAAACAGCCGATGACAGAAAGTTATGAAGAACTTGTATCTCAAGGTCCATTTCATTGTCGCCCCAATAGCCTCCAAGCTATAGGACATAGATAGATAGATATATAGATAGATAGATAGATAGATAGATATTACGAGATACCTGACACAGTTTTGTTTTCCCCTGATATAACAAGATACCTGTTATAACACAGTGTAATTTTCACAGTCCCAATACCCTCATTCTACATGTAACATGTTTCTACTTTAATATCATGTAAAGGACACTTGTTCCAAAACTATACAGAAATATTTACCATTATCTTTATTGTATTCCTTGAATGATGAAACTGCAGCAGTAAACCTGAAAGAAAAGAATATTACAAACAGATATTTTAACAAAATTTAAACATGACCCAAAGATTACTTTCCATACAAACCATTATCCTGTACCTTCCCTTAAAACTTTCATTTCTGGACATTCTTAATTATTTGTTATTATTATTATTATTATTTTTATTAATTTATTATTATTATTATTATTTTTTTTTTTTTTGGGGGGGGGGGGGAAGTGGTTGAAAAAATTCATATTTAGCCCAAAACAAGTGATTGTTTTCAAAACCATTACATAAAATAAAGTTAATGAACCACAGTCTGTCTTGGGTTTCGTGCACAGGGCTTTATGTTATTCTTTATCTCTCACACTCATCTTCCATACTCCTCAACTGTTAGCCCCCTGCATGCCACATAACATTTTCTGAGGTTGATTTTATATGTTCTAGTTGTACATCTACATAAAATTGTATATTCAGGCAATCAAAGATTTGACAACATACTGTACTTACTTATCTACGACCTCTGGTGGAGGCACTACATGGCCCGGAGTAAAAACCTTGACATATTGCACATCTCTGTCAATGAAAATCTGTAAAAGGAGGAAGAAAAAATTATGGAGTGGAGATATATGTATGTTAAAACCAGGCTAAAATGTCAAGTACCGGTGAAAGCAGTAATCATCTATGAGACACTTATATAGGCTTTAAAAGAGAGAGTACAGCCTTGAACAAAATAGTCTCCCAAATATACATGTACATGTACACATGATGATAAAAGCCATAGAATAAAGAGTTATCATTAATCTAATGCCCTTCTTGGTTCATGGCATTGAATGAAAGTGTGATCTCCAACTGACGCCGCAAATAATTCTTATCAAATTGATTAGATTTAGAAAAGTTAAGTATTAGAAACAGAAACATCCTCTTCAGGTACATTGGTGTGAAGAAAAGGGAAGGGAGAGAGAGAGAGACAGAGAGAGAGAGAGACAGAGAGAGAGACAGAGAGAGATGGAAATAAATGACTGCTTTTGCTGACTTCGGTAAGTAAAAACATATTTAAAACTGAAAATACTGAACAAAATATAGCAAATTCATATCTCCATTATCAAAATATACAATGGTAACCATTTTCTAATGTAGTGGGAAGGGCAACATCTAGACAGGTGCTGATAACATTTTCAAAATGAACAAAAACAATAAATCAGAATCAGACTTTTTCTGTAGGAACACAGCAGTAGATAACAAATATTATGACCATGGGACAGGCTTTTATCTGCCTTGTTAAAACTCATCATCCTCTATTTTTGTATTTTGGAGTTGTTCATTATCTAAATCAAAATGGAAATATGGTTTTACATGGTAACCAAAACAAGTGTACTTACCTCAGGATTGTAGTATCTTGTTGTGGCAGTCAGATCAATGATAAGACCCATTCTGTAATTCATCTCATTTAGTTTTTGAAGTAAATCATCTGGAGTAAACCTATGTAGAATGTCAAACAACAAACACTGTAATAATGGCTTCTTATAATTATAGCACTCATATGCGTTGAGCTGTGATGCTCATGGACTTTCAACATTATCACCCTGGACATGGCAGATCTGCAAAAGTAACTAGCCCTCAACAATGTCAGGTACTCTCATTTAAACCTTGCGGAGAGTCGCAAATGTAGATTAATCTCTTGCCAAAGGAGATTGGTGCCAAGTTGGGATTTGAACCCTGTATCTAGTGATCTACAGTTCATTGACTTTGCATTTTCTTCACTGAAAAAGCGTCCCACACTCTGTATGTCCCTCACAAAGCATGAATGGTGAGCTGTACATTTGCAAGACAGTAAAATAATCAGTATCAAAAGTAATGAAATATATAAGACCACTGGCATAACGAGAAGTTTACATTCAAAACGTGAAATAACATTCATGGTCAAAATTGATAGCTAGATGAGGGAGCAATTTGATACAAATTTACAGGAAGAAAACAAATTTGAAAGACTTGTATCAATGGCTACATTTTGTAAAAAGTCCTAAAACATGAAATGTACAAACTGTGCTGCATGTCACATCAAACAAACACAAATCACTTTGGGAAACAATACATTACAAACAATTAGGTATACTTACCTATCCTTTTCAAGTAATCTTGAGCTCAGATTCTTATATTATAATTGCAGAAAGAAAATAAAGAATGGATGAAGAAGGGAATACAAAAAAATGTTATAAAAGAGCAAGGTAAAAATTTTTGTTTTTACAAAAGTCAAAAGTTATTCAGACTAGTCTCTAATTCAGACCATTATTAAACAGACAACTAGGCCTATGTTGCTTTTAGGGCACCCCCCCCCCCCACACACACAGTTTTATTGTTTACCAATACCGTAAACATTTAATTAACATTTAATCAGTTTGAATACTAAGTTTTTGTAAGGTATTTTGTTTAATTACTTACATGTGTAGAACACAAAACATACACTTAACTTTGACTTGCAAATTAAGTACATTGTTCTGAAATCAGAAATAAAGAAATACTTTGATACTTTGATCGCTCACCTCCTTTAAGGGTACTTTAAGAGGAAGAATGTTTGTCCCTTTGATAACATCTCCAAAAGGTACATACTTCTCCCACCTGAGAAAGAGGTAATAAGAAGTAAAGATTATATACAAAACATGGTGAGCAGGTGTACAATAGAAGCAATAGCTGAATAGAAAAGTTTGTTATATACATTATCAACTGCCATGATTTAAAAAATAATAAACATAATGTTGACTTAAAGAGTCATAAAATTTGGATTAATGCATTGGACAAAAATACGTGATTCATGAAACTTGAAGGCATTTTTAATTCATATCCATGAACATTATAATGTGCAAAATAAATGTCATTGCGTATCTGGACACAGTTGATCAACAAAAATATATAGCTTTCACTTTCACATCGAACGGCACTAATCATAGATCTAAATAGTTGTCCTTTATTGTTTAACATAACAAGTCACACGTCTCAAGGAAAAGATTTCTGAAAAAACTTACACTTAAAAATTAAATAACTGTTTGAAATCAACTGTCCTGATAACCGAACTGTCTGGAAAACTAGACAAGGTCATTGAACTACACGAATAAGAGTCTAGACCTAAATAAATTAAGAAAATAAATTAAGAAAATAAGGCCTTATACAATACAATTCAATTGTAATGCAAGCTTCAATTTAAAAATCAAATGCTTTTTTCTTCTTTTCATTATCAAATGAAGTCAAATTTGAAGGAATGCTCGGCCTCCTTCACCTGTTCACACACACAACAACATAAAAACTTTCCCATTCCTGTCAAGAATTTTTCTGTGACTAGTCTAGGATCTACTTTTAAAACCTCCCTCCCCCCTTTCTTTTCTTTTCTCTTTTATTCTTTCCCTTCGTTCTGTCTGGATTGAACATTAACTAACACAAATAAGAGTGTATGGGACTGGTTTGCACTTCTGACTCCACGTCTCCTCACGATTGACACTCAATAACACATACATGTAGACAATTTTCAAATTTAAAAATGTCTTGAATACATATTGAAATCATTTCACACAAAATAAATGACTCTAGTAAGGCCCATAGGACTCACCTATCCGGTATCGTTTTAGCTTTCGGCATTTCAATGTTAACTCCTCGCTTTTGTCTTTCGCTGAACATGTCGACCGAGTTATGTTTTTTTCTTCTTAATCTTTTATGGTATCCCTGAAAAGATAAAAAGTATATCAGTTGGAAAGCATAATCTATCATCAGTCATCAGAGACGGTTTACGGTATTACACGTGACGATATTTAGAAATGTTTTAGGGGTTATTGTCCAATGGGGGGGGGGGGGGGCTATTTTCCGGGGGTGATTGTCTATAGGAGGTAATTGTCCTTACGCACTTCAAGTACCCTTACCTACCACATTTTAACATTCAAAACAAATTTAGCTTACCTTTACTATCCGAACCACAGAGGAAAATATCCGGTATTAAAGTGCTCAAGAGTTTGTTTAATGTTTTCCCCAAAGCTGAGACCCAGTGATAGTGCCGTACAAAGATGAAAAGAACTCGTGGTTAACATGAAGCATAATCGTCCGACCTCATCCGGTGTAGAAGTTCACAAGCTCAACTAGGCGGGTTTAACTCGAACTGGTATGATATCAAGAAATCTGTCCTCCTTGCATGCTCGAACGTAACCTTTACGAATGTGAGCATTTAAGAACAGTCCTAGTACAGTAGTACAATGGAGCCTATGGAGGGGTGAAGGTGATAGAAGTAAGGTTAATAGTCTGAAGTCTGAGTGTCCGAATCTCTGAAGATACCAAACTAATCAACAAAAAACAGTAAGTCAACAACGGCGGATCAAGCCATTGTAGCTTTTGAATGATCACGAGTTTGTGCGAGCACTTGAACGCTTAATGTAAATATTCTGTAAAAGTCAATTTTTATTCCACTTAATGTATTATGAAAGCCTATGTTTTTAACAAATCGTCTAATCTAATTAATTGTGTACTTGTGCACTACATGGGGGTGACCAAATAGCATGACAATTTGCTAAACTTTTGCTAAATAAGCGGGAGGGGGGCGGGGGAATTGCCCTGAAATTTGAAAATTTGACCGATCGACATTCCGTTCCGTTGGGGGTGGGGTAAGGTCATTTTTTTCTAGGTCACCCATTAGGAATGTTTTATGTTTTTTATTTTTTATTTTTTTATTAACAAAAAAACAAAAAACAAAAAACACTCAAAAGGGGGGGGGGGGGTTTCTCGAAAAGCATATACATATAAAAAAAAACTCAAGGGGGGTTAAACCCCCCCCCCCCCCCCGCTGCGTACGCGCTTGTCCATGTCAGAGTTGAGAATTCTCGCACTTTTATATATGTGCGAGAATTCTTAACTCTGACATGACAACGGGTGTTTCAGACAAGCCGAAAGCTCGTAATATATACAGCAACGTCTCACGTTCCTAGACCATTTTCTTCACTATACTGTTGGTCATAAAGGTGGAATTAGTACCCCAATTTATGGAATTATTTTGACAATGATTTATTCCTAATAGTAATAGATCTAAAATAATAATATACATTCTAAGATTTGTTTTGCATGACTGTTAAGCATGTATGTGCTACTATGCTAATCAACTAGGGGACCTACGTCCTTAAGTCATAACTGACAGTAATGAGGATTAATGCCTCACAAAAGGGCAGTGAGCACATTTCTTTTGTTTTGGTCCTCGAAATTTTACTGGATCCGCCACTGTACCGAACACCGCTATACGTCTCATCACTCGCACTAGAAAGCACGACCACATCACACCAGTCATTCGCACCCTACATTGGCTCTTGATTCCCCAACGTATCCAATTCAAGATCCTTCTCCTCACGTTCAACATCATCCATTATCGCGCACCATCATACCTGATCTCACCCAACGACAGACTACCGGCATGAACCTTAGATCATCATCCAGACCCCAGCTCGCACTTGGTCCTCGCACCCACAACCGTTATGGTAACAGGGCCTTCTCAGTCTGTGCCCCCACTCTGTGGAACACTATCCCCGCCCATATCCAGGACTCATCCACCATTGACATTTTCAAAAAGAATCTAAAAACTCATCTATTCCAAAAGCAACCCAAATAACTCTAAAATAAGTTCGAATAAATATTATCAAGCCTTCATTATGTCTTTTCAAATTATTGCTATTACTGATAGTCTGATATAATGTGTTAATTTCCAAGGAATTTACATGTTTTGTTAATTTCGTTAGTAATGTTAGTAATGTTTGATCTTCTTGGTAATTTAAGTAATGTTAATTTGTTAAGTTATATTAGAAAAATTTGATCTTCTCGTTAATTTAAGTAATGATAATTCCATTAGTAATATTGATTTTTTGTTTGAAGTAATTTTGATTTGTGTACATGTACAGCGCTTTGAAACTTTTGCGGTCACAAGCGCTATATAAATTTGTCATATTATTATTATTATTATTATTAAAACCCTTCAAATTTAAAATTAAATTTTGTTCAATTTTGTATAGGTGAATTGTGCAATTAATAGCTTCGGTATATATCAGTTTGAGCATAAAATTAATATAAAACATAAAGACGCAAACAGAAACTTTCGGCATATGATTATATGAGAGTACAGAACAGCAATCTATCTGATAAAGGCCATTAGCTCTTAAGTTCAACTGAAGGACAATTTTCTGAATAGTGTGCACTGGTATTGTATGTACATGTATATTCTAATCATTTTCAATATGTTGTTACATTCTTTGTAAAATGAGATATTGTGAAAACCAATAAACTATTTATCTATCTAGTTAAAATTTGATACGATAGAGCTTTAATCGCTTCAAAGTTATAAACCTCTTTTAGGAGTATTGTGCAAATAAGAGCCTCGCTATATATGCCGGTTTGAGCCTCAAGTTGAATATAAAACAGTAAGACCTAGACAAAAACTCTCGGCATCTGACATAATAAGTAAAGAGCAACTATTCAGTTTTCATTTGTTATAAGTCATTAATAAGATACAATTTCAAGCACGAGGTTCTTACTCACACTGCGCAAATTTTCATTTTTTCCTTCTTCATTAGTTGTTTTTGAGACACTATAATCCCCTGAACCTATTGGCTTATTGGTCGTCAGTTTCAATCAAGGAACCGGAATAAAGATACCAACATCTGGAACGATAAAACTTATCTAAAGATGTCTTTAGTGGAGGGCAACGTTCTTTTGGCATGTATTTTCGCTGCTGTCGCTACCATTGCTGCTACAATTCTGATTTTTTTCAAGAAAGTAAAATCAGGTATGTTGAATTTAGTCTAGGAGTCTAGCCCAGAGATAACTCCGGGAAGCTCCAACACAGGCGCCGGTGTTGGAGCTTCCCGGAGTTAGCCCAGAGACAGAGTTCGATTACGTGACTTCACAAATTGAATGTTCAGGCGCGACGTGGAGGTAATTTCAGGGAGCTCCGCCGCCACCGTAGCGCCCTAGCTAATACGGACACTGGGGGTGGTATTATGAAGCCAAATGACGTTATATTTTATGTTAGTAAACACAGATTTAATTGTCATTGGTTTAAATATGAATTATGATAGATCTATTCTTTACAGGGATTGTCCGCATAAACGGGCATCGTCTAGAGTAAAGGAGCCGGTAATCGGCCAGCTCCAGTTTTCGGCCGATTGGTTGGATGCAAGGTGAAATCACTCTAAAATACATCGCATAATAGCATAACACATATCCCACTCATACCATACCATGCCAGTGTCACTGAAGAACCACATTTGTAATGAAAAATATATCCTAAAATATCACATTTTAGCGATGTAATCGGCGGTCCCGCTACCCGAATCTGAAAAATCGAGTATCTTACGCGTGTATGTAAGAAATATGGGTACCATAAAATCAGCTTTATTTCAAGTATTTTTCAGATTTAGAGCCCGATTTTGTGTTAGTCGCAAGCTCAAAAGTATCTCATCGCATGTATTAAATCAATGCAGCCGGACCCTGCCACGCACACACGATATGTCTGTCTAATTCAGATTCCAACTTCCGATCACCGCTGTGCCTGTCTTCGGCCAGGCGAGCACCAGGGAGCTCCAGCGTGGGATACCTGCTCCGCCCGCTTGTGCTGTACATCAGCGCAGAAACGCACGGCGCGCGCGAGCGCTTCCTATTGACTTTGTACATGCGGCCGTAAACTGAAACGCTCGGCCGATAACTGGCTCCAAAACAGTGAAAATTGAAATGAATATTGTCATGGCAATTCGTTATTTTTTTCTGGGATTCTTTTTTTGTTTAAATAATAATAATATTTGCTTCATGATTTGAACAAAAAATGATAATAAATAGGAAGTAAAGGGTCCTAAAAATAGGATTTTGTCTTAAGTGGCCGAAAACGGGCTCCTTTACTCTATGTAAACGCGGACAGATGCGTCCGCAAAAATTTGTTTTCTGATCCGCGTGTTGGCGATGCGAAAAATGGATGCATTTCACATTGACTTTGTACAAAGACTTTCATGTTATGAGCGATAAATCCTCGGGAAGACGGACAATTAACCCATAAAAGTAGATGGTGAACTGGGGATATTTTATTATGCGGAATCCGTTTTTCTCATGGAGTCATGCGGAATCCGTTTTTCTCATTGCCAGCACGCGGATTGGAAACCTGAAACACTTAAAGCGCCAAGGAAGAAAATTATTGTGGACAATCCTTATTTTTTAGGACGCATTTTGTCTGCGTTTATGAGAATATTCTCGTTTATGCGGATGACCCTCATTCTCGGACTAGCACCCCTATTGATATCTGCAAATCATTTAATCTATTTTTCTAATTCTAGGCTACTGTAATGTACTGTATGTGTCTTTTAATTGGCTCCAACAAGCTCCATACCCCATGATGTCCCATCATCCATGTCTGCAAACAATAAAATTTCAAAAGTATAAATTTTCATGGTAAATATGATTCATTGTTCATAGATGAAGGTGAAGCAAGACGGCCGCGCCCAGTACCTGTCCGTCAGCGAGATGACGCTCCAGCCGGAGCTGGGAGAAGACGAGGAAACATCAGAGATCGGATGCAGCAGGCAAGAAGGGAAGAAGAGGAAAGTGATGACAATATGGGTAATGATCTACTGTCAATATAATTCAGATCTTCTTAAATTATTGAACAAATACATGTGCAAGTGCTTATCACATCATTACAGACAGTGAACCCTAATCGTGAATAAGCCATTAAAATCTTTCAGAAAGGCAATTTTGCTCAAATGGAATAGACAATAATGCTCAGTGATCATGGGCGCCTGAATCTATCATCATCATCATCATCATCATCATCTATACAGGAGTGTAGGATATCCTGTAGGGTGCCGTTTCTCGAAACCAACTCCATGACAGTCATATCTTTGTCGGCGACCTACGGAGATGTCATGAAGTCGATAAATCATTTCACAAAGCCATGAAAGACATGATATCGATATATCGCGATACTAGCACCTCTAGAAGATAGTCTTTGCCACGATCCATTTGATTTATCAAGAATAACCCAAAACAAGTTTTGGGGCTAAAATTGTTCAAAAAGACATATACACATATAAATTCTCCTAAAATAAATAATAAATAGTGTCATTATCAAATGTAGATCATCAAACGATTTGCATATTTCTGTAAAGATTCTTAAATTGAAGAAAAACCGGTGAGTGTTTTTTTTTTGCCAGTCGAATGAAAAGTTAATTGAAAGATACCGTAATGTGATAGTTTATCAATACGTACTTTTTTGTTTATTGTGACGAGGAATTTTAGGCAAAATACCTTTTCTCAGCCAGTTTTTATTCTAGAGTCTCATAAATACTCATTATATAATTGATTTGATATTGAAAATATAATTTGGAAGAAGTAATTAGACAGGGAATAATAATGCACATAGGCCCCAAAGGTATAACGGTATCCTAAGAAAAGACTATGGATCGACTATGGAAAACGGTGTGTAACATTCTTATCTCTCTTATTTATATGTTATAGTTTAATGATTTGTGATTTAATGTTTGTATTCAGTTTTTTAAAGTTTCTGTATAATTTGTATTCTCACTTTTGTACATTTGCATTTCGCAAGCCAGAGAATTACGTACCAAACTCGTCTATATTTTTCTCAAAATGATAGTGAAACTTATCGTACATTTCGCGGTCCATGGAATGGCAACAAACTGACTTGTGGTGGCGCTTTACAGCAATTAAAACGATATGACAGGTTCGGAGCAGTGACAACTCGCTTGTCGCGGAAGTTGTCGCTCATCTTGGCAAAGACGGCTTCGTGAAACACTTAGCTGACAAGTTGCGCGACAGTGGCGAGATGTCGTTGATCTTGTAGTTATGACGGTTTCGAGAAACGGCCCCTAGGTCTCCTGGTCAGATTACTTGGTACATTATTAAAAGTCTATTATTGAAAAATAAAGAGATCATACATTTAGATAATGTGATTTATCTTTACTTACAAACATACAAATAAACTAGTCTTCTGTTCATGATTGTGAAAAAAATATTGATTAATACTGATCAAAAACATTGATAAATTACATGTACATGTACCAGTGATTATTAGGCTATTATTATTATTATTATTATTATTATTATTATTAATTGTTTGGTTTGATGTTGTTTTCAGAGGAATGGATGAGAGAGGATGATGATGAGGAGGAGGATGGAGAACACAGAGACTCTACTGGGAAGAAGATTGGTGCCAAGAAAGCAAAGAAACTTGAGATGAAAGCTGAGAGACAAAGGGAGAGAGAAGTTAGCTTTTTCTTTGTTTACTTTGTTAAATTGCTGTCAGTTTTAATCCTGTTAGGCCTCAATAAACTTCATATTTTGGATTTTGCTAGCTGAAAATATGAGGAAACAGTCTTTTATTTTTTTGTGGTACAGTGCAGGTCAGAATTATGCTTTTATCATCAAGATATTCATGAACAACGTGTGTAATAATGATATTATTGTCCTTGTACTGAAGTGTCAAGTACATCCTAAATCCTATGAAAAGTGTATTGTACCGGTAATTGTAGACTCTAAGTTATTTTGACATGTTTAATACAGTCATTACTGTTACAGTGTGTAAGACTTGTTTGTTCATATAGATATTTGAAACATGCTTTTGTCATCGATTGCATTAATGCCACATTCTTGTAACTGTTGCTCATCCAGAGTTTTTTTTTATATCAAATAAATTTGCTTACAGAATCTATTACTCCTGCTTTAAATTTTTGCTGTGCGGTTCTAAAATATAGCTTTTTAGCAATGTAATCTGATATCTTTATCTAGGCTAAATGTATTTTTTTTTGCTGCATGGTTATCAGATTTAACCTTTCAGAAAATCTGCTAAAATCTTGTTTTGTAATACTCCTACACAGATAATGCTTCAAGATCGAGAGGAAGAAAAGGAACGTAGAGAAGCTCGGGAGGAGCAAAGAAGGAAAGTAACAGAGAAAGAGAAGGAAGAAGAAGAAAAGCGGGTATGTTGAAATATATGTTTCAAGACTATTCTTGTTCTATTTAAAGGGATGTTTATCCCTACGATGTCAGAAAAAAAAGCCATACTAAAACAGATATTAATGATATTGTGATGTATTTGAATACATCTTATCTGAATTTGATAACCTTGTAGATTCATCTAAGATCACATCATTGACACTATTTGAGGATTTGATTGGAGTTCAATTGATGTGATCTGGCCCCCGTTGCATAAAACTTACCATCGATGATAACTTTGCCATTGACTGTAACTTTCATGGAAACCTTGATTTGCTTGGCTGTTGAGTGGAAGTTAATATTGATGGCAAAGTTACCATCAATGGTAATTTTTATGGAATGGGACCATGATCCGATTCGTTGACTTATGTCAAAGCACTAGGCTAAACTACCCAAATGGATTATATTTGAAGGAGAGGCTGTGGGTTATAGTTAATTAGTTTGCCTCCACTTCAAGGCTAAAGGTGATGCCAAATAAATGATGATAAAAATGAGTAAAAGTAATTGAATTTACAGTTTCTCGATGTCTCACATCTTTTATTTGTGTTACAAAACAGAGGGGTAAAAGCAAAGGTGTAGCAAAAGAAAGCAAAACATGGACTTAGACTCTAGCCTGAGCTGTCTTAGGCGTAGTGTTCAAGCTCGTTTAATGACATGTAGCTTTATTTCTTGTGTTATTATTTTTTTTTAATAGGAAGAAGAAGAGAGACTCAAGAAAGAGGAGCAGGAGAAGAGGGATCATGAAGAATATTTAAAAATGAAAGAAGCTTTTGTGATAGAGGAAGAAGGGCAGACTCAGGTCCTATCAGAAAATGAAGTAAGTATTATTATCTTCATAGAAAAAAAGGGGGATAATATTAATTGCTCTAACTCTTTATATACCACACTAAATTTCTTCTCGTGCCAAATTTCATTTATCATGGGATAGATATACCAAAGGCTTCAAGATTATTTAACCATTTCGAGTGCCATATACATCTATACCAGTGTTAAAAGGGTCGTTATGGAGCTAATCTCGACCGGAAGTGGGTAATTTTGCAAAGCGATTGTGTTGCACAAAGCAGTTCTTCCACCTTTTGGTTCCCTACTGGTCTTGTGCAAAATAGCATGTGTGGCAAACAAGCTACCCTGCAGAGATGAAAAAGCGACCGAAGAGTTAAAGCTATACACTGTTACTCTGTTAGAGCAGTGCTTTCATGCACACTGAATTTTAATGTTAATTTAAATGTTATGAATGCAATTGATCAGAAAGTAAGAGAAGTAGCTATGATCAGACACATGCCAGACTTTTGCACAGCCTTTTTATATTGTTTAGGTGATTCAGCATTTGCCTCTATAACATTCACTCTTTTCTTCACATATATATTCACGAGTTGTGATTTAGTTTTTAAGTTAGGTTTAGGATCATTTTTATATGCACCCCTACATATTTGTTTAAGTAATGAATGTTGTGTCCAACAATTCATAACGAGTTGTCTAAATATTATGACAATTCTTACTAGTAACCTCAGTTTACCTCATTTAACCACTGAACAGAAGAAAACATGTTTAGTGTTTGATAATTGGATTGCAATATCACACATGAAGACCCTATACTCTGGAGACAATCAAGAACGTTTATGCTTTGATGTTTCTTTTTCAAACAGTCACAGTCTTTGCTAACTGAATTCATCAACTACATCAAGGACATGAAGGTTGTTTTATTGGAAGATCTCGGAGCCCAGTTCAACATCAGAACTCAGGTACGTACGCTCTAAATAAACTTCCAGTAAAGTTAGCTTTGCAAAACGAAGTGTTACCTAAAGACACATCCGTAACGCAAACGGGAAGATTGCAGAACTTTCCCAGAAAATGATTATTTCATTTCTGAGAGGCCGAACTATAAAAGTAGGAGGTAGAGTTGGCATTTATACCTCTACTGACTCACTTCAGCTACATGTGTATAGTGCAGTAACAATTAGATAACTTGCATGGGGAGGGGTAATTTTTTTCAATAGGAATATGTGGTGGGGAAGGGGGGGGGGGAGGGGTAATTGCCCTTGGGGAAATTGACTAAAGGAAGTTGCATTGATGCATTTGTGTATGGATGGTATTCTGGTCGCCATGGGAATAGCTGTCCTGATGCAATGTCATTGTATCTTCTAAGAGGTATGAAAGGATCATTTCATCAGTTTGCACAGATGTAATGCCCTTCTGGCTCTCAACCAAAAATGGGATGAAATACGTTAGGATGGGTGGGGACAAACTTCTTTAATAAATTCATGTCAGAATTGCAATGTAGGAGACCTGTGTAACCACAGTATGCAGAACTCAAGGAGACCCTTCCTGAAACTATTAGTGCACCCTCTCGTGACATGAAGAACCCAGGAATCTTTGTAGTCTAATACAGCATTAAGCAGTAGCTTGTCTTCTTTCTTTCCTTATCTTTTTTTTTGTATTGGTAATGTATGTATTTTGTAAAAATCAATAGCGTTTGGAGCGTGTGTAAGGTGGTTTATGCATTTACATTTTTTTTTTTTTTTGGGGGGGGGGGAGGAGGGGTTGGGAGGGGGTACTGGGGTAATCATTTTGCAACTGTCATTGAATCATTTCCTTTTGATTTTCATACTGGTACAGCTCACTATACATCAGACCTGATGATTACCTCATTGAAATCGGTTTCCTGGGAGGGGGAGGGGGTTGCTGTACATGTACAACAACTTAATATCACTATTCAACACAGACCATCTCTTTTATTTCTTTTAGTTGTTACCATGTCTGATAAGCTTTAGAGCTTTAAACAATTGTTATAAGAGGCATGTATAATGTAGATGTACATTTATGAACTGGAATATTGAATAAAGTGAATTTACTTGATGATACAAGAAACTGAACTGATATCATACTCATTTGTACATCGCTTCTAAAGTGTACACATGCAATGCACACTGTAAATGTTTAATGGGTCAAGAGTCGACTCCTATAAATGAACAGCGGAATGATATTTTAAGAATTTTCATTTATGAAGTATAGTCAAGTGGCTCTTGATATTAATATTTCACACATGGTAATAGATTCAAATTTACGAGATCAAATTTCACACAGGCAAATGTCTGAAACAACCTTTCAGTGGTTTGTGTGACGTTTGTGTGACGTTCGTGTGTGTGTTTGTGGTTAACCTACTCATGTATGAAGTGGGCTGGGGATGTGAGCCCAACTCCTGTAAGAATGAATAGACCTGTTCACAAATGTATTTGAGATTTGAGGCCTTCTTTTCTGAGAGAGTTGATTCCGACTTACATTAACATGTTACACAGTATTGTATTTCAGCTGTTAAAATACAGTTTAACACACATCTGATGCTATGTCTGGCAACCTTCTGGCAAGCTGTAGAGTTGTCATTTCTAACTTTTGTAGAAATGCCTAAGGTGAAGGTCCACTACCATGAAGGAAAATATGAATATTGGAGTAAGTTCTTTTACTCCAAGTAAAGAAATTGATGATAAATGCATGGTAATCACGAAGGACTAAAACATCAGATGATCTCACTCATAGTCATAGACCCAATGTCCTTTTATTAAAAGGTCTCATGGTCATCATAGCAATTGACTTGAACAAAGGAAAGAAAAAATTATCGAGGCTTATCCAACGAGACCTTTTAGACGTTTTCCCCGAGGACCAACACTTTCCTTCAATGATTTGTGCAAACAACTTCTGATGCAGAACAATTGAATTTGATCATTCCCAGTAGATATTAACCCTGTTAGGGAGAACCAAATGAGATCGTCGGTCGATCTGTTCAGGCGGCCTAAGGCCTACGTTGAGAAGTTCTGATTGATCAGTGAATGCGTGCATCAGCAGGCTACCTGTGGGTCGTGTTCACACTGATAGACATGTAGCTTTTCATAGAACGTTCTATGCACAGCCTGTTTATCTGGATAGCATGAGGATAACTTTTAGGAGCTTTGTTTGATCAGTGCATGAGTGTATGATCTAGCTACCGGTGGATCATGTTCACTTTGGTAGACATTGCATTTCAGATAATGTTCTATCATGTTCAGCCTGTTCATTTGGACAGCCTAAAGCCTACTTTGGGAAATCGTGGTTGATCAGTGCATACATGCATCAAGGGGCTACCTTTGGGTCATGTTCACTCTGGTGGAAGGCATGCCGTTTCTAAGAACATTCTACATGTATGTTCAGCCTATTCATGAGGACAGCCTATGACCTACTTTGAGAAACCATGGTTGATCAGTGCATACATGCATCAGCTGGCTACCTGTGGGTCACATTCACTCTGGTAGACACAGTGTTTCAGACAATGTTTTATCATGTTCAGCCTGTTCATCTGGGTAGCCTAAGGCTGACTTTTAGGAGCTTTGTTTTACTGATCAGTGCATGAACGTATGAGCTGGCTATACCAGTGGGTAACGTTCACACTGGTAGTGAAACTATTTCATAGATCATGCTATGACTTACAGAGCATTATTAAATTTACGACACACATTCTTTTCTCTCTATTTTTTTTTTTCGGGGGGGGGGGGGGTCTTTGTTATTGGATTCTGCAGACCTGGCGGAAAGGGGAAACCATCTGAAATATAAAAAGCAGTCCAGAATGAAAGCTCCATTCCATTTCAAGAGAGAAAAAGATCATCTCAAAATGCAATATTACCAACTTAGCATACAACTTGTAACATGTACATGTACATGTTGCAGGGTCTGAATATTAGGGCCTAGACCAGGGGTTCTCAAACCTTTTGCCTTGGCGATCCAGACGTGATTTCCATTAAAGCTGAAATGTCCAAAACAATATATATTCAAATTTCCTTAATCAATTATTTCCATATGTATGAATTTGTGATATTATAAATGCGGGTCTTTACACGTACCTTAATTTCAAGAGTTAAAACATTCAAAGGTGGAAGTTCTGGTATATATGTAGGGTATATCCATGGGAAAAGTGGCACTGTTTCTAGGCAATAAGCTGCTTAAACTAGTGAATATTAGCACAAAAGGAGTGATTGGAAGACAAAGGCATCGATGCAAATATTCAGACAATCTACTCCTAAAATTAACAGTAATGGCACTTGTATACTGAAGAAAATTAGAGTTGTTATAAACTTTTAGGTCTATATCTGATCTAAGGGGAATTGTTTTTTGACGCTATGCAGTACCCATGGTACCCTTTGGTCGAAATTATGAAAAAAGATGGGGGGCCCGGGAAGATTCTACCCCTAGCCCTTATAAGTTTTTTTTTAAATTTTAAACACAGCCTCCTGGGCAGTCCGGACTTGGCTCAGGCTTATAAAGAGTTGCAATTGATTTGGATCAATCGCAAGTTTGCAGTCCCCTATCTCTTATGTACAGAGTTGTGATTGATATCAATCACAAATAAGTTATAAGGCGGGGCCCTGATCTAGAAATTAGACTAATACCCTGGGCTGAATATCTGCTCTTGCTTGGTTAACTCTAGGCTTAGCCCAAGTTACCTTGCATTATATACTTAAATTGTTGAAATGAAGTAGCTTGCAGGTCACCTATATATTTTGACCCAAGGACGCTTTTGACCTACATGGACAATGTACCCTTGAATGATGACAAAAATTCATTATGCGTTGACATACAATGATATATGATGTAAAAAAATGATAAGATGGTTTTACATTGACAAAATGTGGAAGACCTTTAGTTTTTTACTTGAAATAGTATAAAAGAAAATAATGTGTGATATGCAATATTATGTGGGTAATTTGGATTAAAATTTGACATTTTAGTGAGCTAATTCAGATAACCATCGTTTCAATTAGGCTTGATTGACAGTTTATTATGTACAATATTGAAGGTGGTATGCAAAATGTTAATGAAGAAGTACATGGTAGACAAAACTCACAAAATTTATTGAAATTAAAATTAAATGAACTGGAATGAGTTAATGAGATACATGTATGTACTTCAATAGAAATGGGCAAAGAGATGAACCAGGGGTTTACATGTATTAGGTAATATTATGATATGAGTAATGTATGAGGAGTGCATTGTACAATATGTCTTGCATTGAAAAGAATTTTAATTCTGTTCATAACAAAAATAAGTCATTGATGCAGTTACCAAAATTAATTGAAGGTAGCAACAAGGAACCAGGAGAGTAGAGGGCAGGAAATTAAATTCAATATAGTTTACCCGTACCAATTATTCCATGTAGACAATACACGCTGTATGCCTTCCTCTGTCTGTATATAGAATTCTCTGGTATTATGATGTGACCTGATTTTTCATGATTAAAAGAAACCTTAGTCATGGTGGCCATGGATCAATTTCATCAAGGGCCGTGCACTTTTATGAACTCTGTTGATTGCTGCCTGCTTCTTTCAAAGATATGCCAGGATCATCTCCATATGCTTACTCCAATCTCAGCCATCATTCTCTTGGGTTAACTATGATTAACTTGACATTAACTGATGGAAAAGATTTAAATGTTATATCCATGTGAATTATGGATTTCAAAGTAGTGGCCATTTAGTATTTTATTTCATTTTATTATTGAATCTTTTAAAAATTTTTAGAATAGAAGTAAAATTGAAGGACAAAATTCTTCCATGAGACCTTGATCATTTTAATGAGTCATTTCACAAATGAACTGAACTTGATGGCTGTCTATATCTTTTGACAAACCTATTCAGTTAACTTTTAAAAATTATTATATTTAAAAGTCAGTATGTAGATATATAGTTAACAACTAAATTATTCATACCTTTTACCAAGTTTTGTGATTTTTTATAAAGTACACAATGTACATGTATGTGAAATTGATTTTTCCAATTTTGTGTCTTGAAGATGTGACACATGGAAAAGTATTTAACAAAAGGCCCTAATTCAACCAGTCCATCTTTCATTCTTGAGTTACAAACTAAAGTAACATCAAATTTGCAAGGGGTATCAATAATTTAATTGTTAATTGTACATGTACTGTACATGTTTGTTGAATTCTTTAGGTGTATCGATGGCGTTTGTTTTAAGAAACAAAAATGCATCACATTTTTAGCCTGAAGGTGAAATGGCACATTATTTTGTTTGCAAATGTATCACATGATAAAACATTGCATAGAGTAAAACTGCAATAAAATTGCAATAAAACCTTATGCTTAGTTGCATTGTAATGCAATGCAGTGCGGTAGTCATGCAGTTATATCACTTTTGTAGTATGAATACAGATCACAAATGCATGAGATGGGAAAGGTCACATATCACAATCTCTTTTCAAATATGACAATCATTCCTCAGAAAATTGCATTTTTTTTTGCCTTCTTCAAAAACAAACTACTCATTTGGAGCATGATTGTGGGCTGGCCTTTATATCCTTCAGGTAGTATTTTCATGAATTTGGAATTATATTCTATTTACCAGGCTGAATGGAATGGAATTTAGGTGTTTAAAGGAATGATCTGGTTTGGGATTTAGATATACATGTACATGTAGTCAATCAGTTACGATTTGCAACTTAGTGAAAAACTAGAACAAACCAACTTCATATTTTTTTAATTTGTACATTATCTGCATTCAGTTTTGGTGCAAGTATCTAAGTTTTAGATTTATCCATGAGGCCCTATCCATTTGATAGCATAGCAGTTTATTTCAGTTTATTTTCTATTTGTTAATGCTGAACAGCAAAGTGCAGACCATTTCAATCATCACCAAATTTCGCTAGATATTTTGCTGCTTAATGCCCAATAACCATATCTTTGGAGGTAAGATGATCATACAATATGGCATACCGGTACTTACTTACAAGAGTATTAGAATTATTGCCTTCCCATGCCCCAAACCACCCAATCTTTATCTCGGAGGTATCTCCATGATTATTATTAAGATGCCAGAGAGAAAAGGCCCTCCACCCCCTTGCTCCTTTGTCCATGAATCAAATGAAAATAACAATGTAATGAAATTTTGATTTAGAAATGAACGATGGATGTCAAGGCGCAGAGATCACGGGTAGGCGAATACAAATAAAGGAAAACTGGCCGGAAGGCGGAAGGCACCGGGATATTAGAAATTATATGGAAAGTGGCTCAAGAGAATAAGATTGAGAATAAAAAAGGCTTAAAGGACGAGTTGGGGAATAGATGATTCCGGAAAAAAAGAAGTGTAGGGATTTGTTTAAAAAAAATGTATGATGATGAAAGAGAAAGGGAGATAGAGAGACAGCAGAGAGTAACACAGAGAGAAAGAGCAGGATAGAGAGAGAGAGAGAGAGAGTGTGTGTGTGCTTGTTTGTGTGTGAGGGAGAGAAAAAGGACAGAGAGAGAGAGAGAGAGAGAGAGAGAGAGAGACATGGACAGAGAGACAGAGACATAGACAGAGAGAGACAGAAAGAGAGAAAAGATGAAAGATTATTCAAATATTTTTATATATAGTTAGGAAGAGTGAAAGTTAAACTTTAATTTAGAAATAAAGATTGGATGAGAGAGAGAGAGAGAGAGAGAGCCAGATAGAAAGAGAGAGAAAAGATGAAAGATTATTTAAACATTGTTATTTATAGTTTGGAAGAGTGAAGGTTAAATTTTAATTTAGAAAAAAAGAGTGAATATTATCTAGAGCAGAGATCATTGTCCTTCCAATACCAATAAAGCAGAATTGGCCAGAAGGCAATGGGATATATATGGAAAGTTAAAGAGAAATTAAAAGGGGCTTTAAAGGAAATAGAGATGACAAAAAAGAGGGGTTAAATGATTTTGGTACTGAAGTGAGCCAATGTTTCATAATTCTATTACAATATTTAGTGAATGGAAATTATAATTTTTTTGTTTTCTTTTCAGATTTACGAAAAGTAATTTTTGTCATTCTGTGAAAAGGGTACAATATGATTCATCTTGAATATTATTATGATCCAGTGCCATATTTTATATTGAGGAGATATTTGAACTGGTTTCATAGCATGACTTTATAGACTTCATCACACATGCCATGTTGTACAGTATACCATGCACTATGACATTTTCCCCTTAATCGAGACATTGCCAATTTGTCTTCCATTCTCTCTGCGGACACCTCCGCTGAAGTTGAATATTTGATTTATGATTGAAACTGTTCCATCTTTTGTGAATGAGATGACCTTTTGACCCCCTGAGGCATCCAATTCATATCCTGATCACTGAGGCGCTTCCGCACTTTTTCCGACGAAATATTAATATTTTTATCACAGATTTATGTTCCATACCGGTACTCTTAAAGGGACAATAAGATCTAAATATTATTTGTATTTAGATGAGAATCTAACCTTACTTCTACTCTGGACTAATTTATTTATTCAATATAATTTTTGTTCCCTATATCCTTCTTTGTTTTTTTAAAGGGAATGTTGATACATTGATGATTATTAGTATGCTTATCTCAAGCAGAGAATATACATACACATGTTTAGTTAGATCAAATAAGATAATTATTTCATTCATTTCATGAATCGTTCAATTAATAATTTCATATTAAATTATACAGCTGTAATAGAATGTAGATTTTATAGTTGTTCTCTTTCAAATGATGAAGGTATAAATATAACTGTGTGGTGCAGAGAGGAGCCTTTGGGCCAGTTGATATATCCAATTCCTTTTGAGGCATCGTATTTGACTGCTCTTTCCTTACATCGACACCCTTTGTCAATTTCCTAATAAAAATTCCTTCTAAACATATCAAGACAATTGTTTTGGTTTATATTTCATTTTTCTCAACGCATTTTTTTAATATTGAAATGTTGTATGAGGAAATTAGTATACAGTTTTGCTTGAAAACAAAGTAGACACCCTAGCACCAACGTCACCAAGTCACACCAAATTCTATGGAATAATACATGAACTCACACGTGACACAGTGTGAGAGTGTCTACTTTATTCCAAGCAATACTGTAAAGTCACAATGATTTCCAAGGAGCAAGTGACTCCTGTATGGGATTTCTGAATGTATTACCTTACTGCGATCTCTATAAAGATTAAATAGTTTGTTACATTTGTATCATCTATGAATCTCTTTTATTTGTTCATTCAACTCCACTTTCATACTTTTGTCCTCCAAATAGAAGTGTGGTTACTTTTTTTAAAGGGCTCATGTCCATCATGATGTGATGCTCCTGACATTCTAACATTATTACCCCAGTCATAGCAGAGTTTAGTATCTTGGGTACACCACACATTTACACCTGGGTGGAGAGTGGCAAACATGGATGAATGTCTTGCTAAAGGACTGTATTGCCGGGCTGAGATTCGAACCCTCAGCCCGCGGATAAGAGTCAAGCTAATAAACAACTTTATATCTCTCCCTTTCTCTTCTTCTATGTTACACAGGAGGCTATCAATCGAGTGCACGAGCTCCAAGCAGAGGGTCGTCTAACAGGAGTCATTGACGACAGAGGAAAATTCATTTACATCTCGGAAGAGGAACTGGAAGCGGTCGCTAAGTTCATCCGGCAACGGGGAAGGGTATCCATAGCAGAGTTGGCTGAAGCTAGCAATCAATTAGTGTCACTGAATCCAGAAAATATAGAGGTTTATCAGAGCAAGCTACTTAGTCAAGCTGTATAATAGCCATCAATATTCTTTCTTCTTATATCCACTTGGTATTTATTGCATCTATTTGTAATATTACCGTTTCCCTTTAGGCCTGGAGAAAGCCTAATAAATCATTTGTTACCGTTCATTTAAATCTTTAATAGAGATGGATTTAGAGTATAAATTTCAGATGAATTTCTGATGTCCTTTAAAGTCAGCGTCACAATCTTTAAAGGTTTTTTCAAGCAATGGTATGAATAGCTCATATTTTTAGCCATGATATGTCTCTCTTATTCCTTTTTTACCCTTTCTTTAGCTACTCATTTCCTTTCAAATGTCACAGTGCGGAATTGATAATCTATTATTATCACATGTTTGTTTTTTGCTGAAAGACTTCTAAATGCCACCATGTTTCATGTTACTTTCCACCAACTCCCACTAGCTTCATAAGAGTCAACACTGGGTATGTGACCTGCTTCTTGTCAGAAACATTCAGGTGTGTTCCCACTGGAGGCAACCACCTTCCCTGCATTAACTATTAACAGCTTTGCTTGACGAATGGGAACAAACAGGACTACTGCAGTTGATTTCTATTACATGTTTAGTATATTTCAAACAATAATGCAGTCCATGGTTTTGCTCCGTGACGATTAATGAGTTTCAAAGAATCTCTCCGTTTGTAAATGATTGGCAGTTTTATGCCAGCGTTCACATGCGAAGGGGCAAATGAATGAAGAGGATAACAAAATAAAATATAAGAAATATAAAAAATAAACATGGGTTCTATGAGGTTCAGATTGTTTTGCCTTAGATGGCGCTTGTGTGATGGTTTAATGCACAATAGAGGAACAAGACTGTAGAGAGATTATTTCAAAAGAAACTAGTACACATGTAGATAGGATGAAAAGTTATCCTTTACTTCATATGCATATTGTTTGCATACAGCTAGAACGTTTAACTTATATCATTTAAAGCCATACTGTGCTAGAATCGCTACTGCAAAATCTCCTGTAGCGCCATCTCAGGTCAGCTGTAGCAGTATGGTCCCGCAACTCATTGCTTCCCTAGTTGCGCTGTTGGTTCTCGCATCGAGTCCTCTGTCTGCGAAGTGGGAATTAGGTACTGGCTTATGCACTGTTGGCAAGGTGATCATGAGATGGCACTGTGCGTATGCTAGGGCAGGAAGTTCATCTGTTCAGTATCACTTTAAAACAGACATAATGCCCCTTAGCTCTAGTAAACAGAAGATATTTTTCAATGCAGTATCTCAAATCTAAATCATTGCATTCACATGTATGTACTAGTATTTGTGAGCCAGGAGGGCATTAACCCATATGCTGAACACAGACTTAGGTGGCTCAAAAAGACGGGTCTGGAACGCAAAATGTATAATTATTGAAAACTATAAATTTATATAATTGAGGGAGAACCACACAAATTACATTTGGATATATTACATAAATGCCATCATGACTCTCAACAGATAATACATTTCAATGCAATATCTTGGGTCCTGCATTGTTGCACATACATGCATGTTTTCATTGGATAATGGCCCAGTAGAAGATACAAAGGACCTTGAAACATGGATGAATGCCATTTCTGATGTATCCCATCCCTACATTCAGAAATTGAAATAGAAAAGTTAAAGTACCATGTAGACAGACATTACTAAAAGAAAATACCAATATGAAGATTATTGCATTCATGCATTTATGCGCATGTGACTGTATTGTGTGTATAATTAATTATTTGGCTAAATGCAGTCCTCCTACTGATTTTTCATTCCTTAATTTTTGTTATTCTATTTACTTGTGCGTTTGTGGTTTATTCTTTCCTTGATGTTTGTTATGTTTTGTCTTTGTTGGAATGAAATAAAAAAATTGCAAACTTTTGACTGATGCCTCCTCACCTTGCTTAGAAGGATAAATGGAATACTGTGCAAAAAATATCTTAGCCTTAGTAAATACCATTCATGACAAACCTACTTGATATTCATTATAGGCGCAATATTTACAAGACGAAACTGAAGATAGTCTTCCCTTTAATAATAACAATATTTTTCACATTAATTGTACATTCTAGCGAGGGCGAGAATAAAGATCTTGAATATACTTGAAATGGATATGGTTATATTTCATTAAACTATGAATGAAAACACATCAATTTGCTCGTCTCTTTTGATTTATCGTAATGCTCATTATGTGGAAATAGCTTGTGGACAATGCATTTATTTTACTCTCCTTGTAGTGAGAGAAAGATGAGAGGGAAGAAAAGAAAAGAAAGTGAGATGGGAGGATAAATATAATCGAGTAGCATTAGTTTCCATAAATCGGCATAGACAATAATATTGGATTGCTTTACAATGCAATACGCCACTTGAATAAATGAATATACATGAAAAAGTTAGATTGAGGGATAAAGATAAAAGAGATGGTAGGAGAGAGGAAAAGAAAATTGGAGAGATGTGAAGAAAAAGAGAGAGAAAGGAGAAGAGAATGGGATATGACGAGAGAGTCGAGAGTAAGATCGAGTTTATTATTTCTTTTTGAGGTTGGCTGTGATTAATGAAAAATCAAGTATAATTTTTCCGCTTTCTGAGAGCACATAAAATATGATTCTGGCCAAAATGTATAACCCGTTGAAAAGCACCTCAAACTGTATACAGAATGTCTCCAAGCCTTCGTATGATTTTTCATGATAACACATCTCTTGACCCTTTCCGATTAGTTTCTTTGTTTCTATAATGCTCTCCACCGCCAATCCTCTCGTGTTTTCTCGACCCTTCTCGCCGCGTATACATTTCCACCAACATCCCCACGTATTACAGTTTAAGTAGTCTAATCAATTTGATACTCCTTTACAAGTCCCGGCGGACGGCGGCACACTTTTCCACCACTGTGGATTATCTTCGATCTGATTCGTGACGTAATGAATGATGTTTTCATCGGGTAAACCCCATTAGCGACAAAAAAATCGAGCTAATGCAAATTTGATATCCGAACCTGCGGAACAAGGGGTCTTTCACGATGGATTTGTAACTGATCATAGGAGATTTGCCTACCTTTGCCTTCCAGGGAAGTCGTACAACCATTTTTACTGGGTTAGAAATTGGCTTCTTGGGGGGGGGGGGGGGGGGGGGGTGGGCGGCACAATATTTGATTTGTCGCCCGCCAATATACTCAATGCTAATAAAATTGTATTGACATTAGAAAAGTGGAAAAAGGTCGTGTTGTAATTCTACCTGATTTTTAGAATATTATA